TTCATTATTGATTCGGGCAGATTTGGAGTTCAAAAACACATCTTTGTCTTGTGCAGGCGGTCGTAAGCAACCTCTTTGTGCAGACGGTCGTAGCAAATCTCTTTGTGCAGACGATCGTAGGCAACCTCTTTGTGCAGACTGTCGTAGAAAACCTATTTGTGCAGATGGTCGTGGGCAACCTCTTTGTGCAGGCGGTCGTAGGCAACCTCTTTGTGCAGACAGTCGTAGGCAACCTCTTTGTGCACGCGATCGTAGGAAACCTCTGTGCAGGCGGTCGCATGGAAATGTTTTCTTATTATTCTAGAAATCTACATCATAAATTTAAAATAAGTTAAGACATAACCAGCGGAATATTTGTAAGACTTCTGTGGTCATTGTTATCATAGTTTAAAACTTATACTTGTAAACTGTGATTATTTATTTTCAAAGGCTTTTACTGTTACAGGTGATCATTCGGAATTTGTGCGTTTTACGAAAACATTAATCCAGTTCCCGAAAGGTCTTGCGGACCGGATAAAACGTTTCAGCGGGCCGCAGTGCGTGCCACGGGCCTTAGGTTGCACACTGCTTTTACAGGCGGCGGTGGCCTGACCCCAGTTGACACAGACAGGGGGTGGGGTTTATGTGGCTAGACTTTGAACCGTCCCGTTGTAAAACGTTGAGGCGTCGTGTGCTTTCTGATTTATAAAAAAAAAAACAAAAAAAAAAAACCTCATTAAATATTCAACACGGCTCTCTGTTACGTTCCGTATTCGGGGCGATTCCTCCGTTTCGAGCGACTGGGCACACTGCCAGGGGGGTCTACGATTCAAATAAAAAATAAAATTGGGATGAACATTAACCCACATTTTGGACAAGGACCTCTAGTAACAAATTAAAAAAAAAAACCCACCAAAAACACCATGGCATTGGCCTTGAGCAGCCAGCTGTAGTGGACTACTTCTCGCTGGTGCGTGTCACGTCCAGTGAAGCTACACATCAGCAGCAAAATAAAGCCTATTCTTATACAGTTTTTGCATTGAAACCCTCTCAACACCCTCACCACGCAGCTATTTAGAAGGGTCTCCCATTGAAACCCTCTCAACACCCTCACCACGCAGCTATTTAGAAGGGTCTCCCATTGAAACCCTCTCAACACCCTCACCACGCAGCTATTTAGAAGGGTCTCCCATTGAAACCCTCTCAACACCCTCACCACGCAGCTATTTAGAAGGGTCTCCCATTGAAACCCTCTCAACACCCTCACCACGCAGCTATTTAGAAGGGTCTCCCATTGAAACCCTCTCGTTCTCAACACCCTCACCACGCAGCTATTTAGAAGGGTCTCCCATTGAAACCCTCTCAACACCCATGTATGCCCACGATTGTGCCCTGACGGCTGGATCAGAAGCGGGTATGCAAGGCATTGTTGCTGATTTCTCCAATGCTCCAACGGCATCGTGACATTCCTAAGGGCATCGGTGACAGTCCTAAGGGTATCGGTGACAGTCCTAAGGGTATCGGTGACAGTCCTAAGGGTATCGGTGACAGTCCTAAGGGTATCGGTGACAGTCCTAAGGGCATCGGTGACAGTCCTAAGGGTATCGGTGACAGTCCTAAGGGTATCGGTGACAGTCCTAAGGGCATCGGTGACAGTCCTAAGGGCATCGGTGACAGTACAAAGGGCATCGGTGACAGTACAAAGGGTATCGGTGACAGTCCTAAGGGTATCGGTGACAGTCCTATAGTTTTCACTCAACATTCGAAAGGCCAGTCACATATTATCGTATGAACAGCGCACAGCTTTGAAACTTTTCTGTTCACCAATGTTTTGCTGCAGATCATCACAGGGTACCTAAACCGGTAGGACTGCCCTCGGCATATGATAAAAAGCCATCTCCAGCTTACTTGGTGAATAATTCAACAACTAACCAGTGTTGCTTTCTCCGGTGAGATCTTTTAGTCAATACTCCCATGAATATCATCACAGCAGTTGGCCTTGTTTTTTATTTAACGTCAATCCTCTGTGATTAAATTGTGCCAAGGATTTGATTAAAGCCTCTATATTAACTTCGCGTTTGTTCGTGTTTCTTTCTGGCTGGGTGGCTGAATCTTCGGACGGCTAATTGGTACACTTCCCGCCAACATATCGAGCTGAAACTTGGCACATAGACTCGTTGCCGATGATAACACATTCTTTCGAATTTTGAGCCCCATCCCCCCACCCCCCCCTCCCCCTTGGCCTTCTACCGTAGTCAGCTCCTTTATTAACTCGTGTGTAGCGTGGAATTTTAAATGTTCAATCCATTAGTTGTTGACTGTTGGAGTAAATGCCGTTGAGTCGGGTTTGTTAGTTAACCCAGTTTTCGTGGTCCCGTGAGTATGAATAAGTCCAAAGAGAGAAGCTCCACAGTAAGTCCAGAGATGACTGTTTCGCAGTAAGTCCAGATATTGCAGCTCAGCATTAAGTCCAGAGAGGGCAACCCCGCTAAAGAAAGGCAAATATCGATTCCCAATGTCTATCTCCTTGCGTCAGACCTGCTGGGAGGTTGACGCTATTTAAGTATACTTGACACATCATTGGGGTCGGAAGGGGTGGTGTGGGGGGGATGTGATGAGTTAGGCATATGGACATATCTGTGTGATGGGTTAGGCATATGGACATATCTGTGTGATGGGTTAGGCATATGGACATATCTGTGTGATGGGTTAGGCATATGGACATATCTGTGTGATGGGTTAGGCATATGGACATATCTGTGTGATGGGTTAGGCATATGGACATATGTGTGTGATGGGTTAGGCATATGGACATATGTGTGTGATGGGTTAGGCATATGGACATATGTGTGTGATGGGTTAGGCATATGGACATATGTGTGTGATGGGTTAGGCATATAGACGTATCTGTGTGATGGCTTAGGCATATGGAGATATGTGTGTGATGGGTTAGGCATATGGACATATATGTGTGATGGGTTAGGCATATGGACATATCTTTGTGATGGGCTAGGCATATGGACATATGTCTTTCTCTACTATTCCTAGCAGTGAGTTCAAGAAATGTCTTTATGTCTCCCACCGCTCTATTTTATCCTATATTACGTGTGAAAAAAAGAGAGTGGAAGAAATGCACCCAGTTCGATCTCCATAAGACGAAGAATCAAATACGCCATACGCCAATACACAAAGTTGTACGTTTCATCAAACAGGTGTTAGAAACGTTGGACATAACTTCAGACCGTTTCCTACTTAATGCTGTATGGAACTGTCTCACCGTGGGAACCCCACTTCAGTCTGCCAATGGAATGTAGGGCACGTTGTCGTTCTCACTGTTGTGATGCAATCTCTTCAATAAAACAAATCACGGACAGCCTAGGGCAGGAGTCGGGAACCTCGCGAGCCATATGTGGCTCTATTGATGGCTGCATCTGGCTCGCAGACAAATGTTCGATTTTAAAAAAATTACTCATTATTGATTAGCAACATCATAACAATGTTATTAAAAAGAATTCAGAGACATAATTATTGCATTTATAGTGTTGAAATTACACAAAATGCACACATTTACTTGAATTTTCAATTTTAAACATATTTTTGGCTCTCACAGAATTACTTTTCAAAATATGTGGTCTCCATTGCTCCCTCAGACGAAAATGTTCCCGACCCCTGGCCTAGGGGGTCAGCAGGGTGTCTGGATGACGTCACTATGGTCCGTTCACGCGACACGAGCCGCCTCTTCCTTGTATTTCAGTCTCGTGTCATGAAGTATGACAACCTAGTGTAGTGGCGTAAAGGGTCGGGGGTCGCAGAGATTACTACAGAAATATCGCTGCACGTTGTAGCTTGTGGTGTGTGTGTGTGGGGGGGGGGCGGCAAGGCAAACGTGGTACAACGTAACAGGTGCTGGTTGCACGTCGTGAACCGCGTGTGACACAATGAGTGTAGGATGTAAACGTTGTACAATCGTCAGCGATGGCTGAAGGTCGTGTGTGGTGTGACGTCGTTAGTAGCGTACACCACCCAACCTAAACTTAGGGGCTTGTTTGAGGTTTACAGGGTTGGCGTACACTGTGGGCTCACCGCCTGGTCATAAGAGGTGGGCATTTATTGTGTACTCACTAGGTAGGCATATATTGTGTACTCACTAGGTAGGCATATATTGTGTACTCACTAGGTAGGCATATATTGTGTACTCACTAGGTAGGCATATATTGTGTACTCACTAGGTAGGCTATTGTGTACTCACTAGGTAGGCATATATTGTGTACTCACTAGGTAGGCATATATTGTGTACTCACTAGGTAGGCATATATTGTGTACTCACTAGGTAGGCATATATTGTGTACTCACTAGGTAGGCATATATTGTGTACTCACTAGGTAGGCATATATTGTGTACTCACTAGGTAGGCATATATTGTGTACTCACTAGGTAGGCATATATTGTGTACTCACTAGGTAGGCATATATTGTGTACTCACTAGGTAGGCATATTTTGTCTTCTCACTAGGTAGGCATATATTGTGTACTCACTAGGTAGGCATATATTGTGTACTCACTAGGTAGGCATATATTGTGTACTCACTAGGTAGGCATATATTGTGTACTCACTAGGCAGGCATATATTGTGTACTCACTAGTAGGCATATATTGTGTACTCAGTGTCTAACCATATATTGTGTACTCACTAGGTAGGCATATATTGTGTACTCACTGGTTGACCATATCATGTGTTCGCACTGTACATCCATTCATTGTGTGCTCAGACGCACAGAATTGCTGGTATTTTCGAACATTTTCAGCTGAACCGTTTGTCTGTGTTGTACTTCGATTTTATTGATTTCTTTCTAGACTGAAGTCTTTCTCTTGCATTCTTTTCGTGTAGTTCCATCATCTGTCCGTCTAAGATACTTTCCTATTCAAGTCTTTCTACCATGTTAGTCAGTTGGCTGCTTTAAGTCAGTTTTTTAAAATATTTTGTTTTCCCTCTTCATATATTTCTTTATTTTGACTGTTTCAGTTCCCATGATGCGTGTGGTAGTATGGCGACGGTCAAAGTTGAAAGACTGCCTGGTCAAGCTGCTGAAATTGATGGGCTTGCTGCTGGTCTTGATGGTGCTGGTGCTACCCATCAGAAACACCATTCTTCAGTTTGTCTTGCCTGGGATGTGGCTTGAGCATAGCTCTTTGTTTTTGTTTAAGGTAACTCTACCAGTCTTAACAAAACAACTAGGGGATTTAACCCATTGTTTCTAGTCAATAGTCTTCACAAATAGGGGATTTAACCCATTGTTTCTAGTCAATAGTCTTTACAAATAGGGGATTTAACCCATTGTTTCTAGTCAATAGTCTTTAAAAATAGGGGATTTAACCCATTGTTTCTAGTCAATAGTCTTTACAAATAGGGAATTTAACCCATTGTTTCTAGTCAATAGTCTTTACAAATAGGGAATTTAACCCATTGTTTCTAGTCAATAGTCTTTACAAATAGGGAATTTAACCCATTGTTTCTAGTCAATAGTCTTTACAAATAGGGAATTTAACCCATTGTTTCTAGCCAAAGTCTTTACAAAGAGGGATTTAACCCATTGTTTCTAGTCAATAGTCTTTACAAATAGGAAAAGGAATTTTTTTTTTATTTATAGTTTTTACGAATTACAATGCTTGTTAAGTTGTTTTCTATGATATAATTTATACATTTTTAAATATAATAATATTATTTTGAAATCTCTTTACATGAACATTTAGCTGTTTTCTCCACTGCAGTTCTGCTAACAGTGAATCAATATTTAATAACTTTTTTTCTCCAGGTGATGCTGGACAGCCAGAGCTTCCCTGTGGCTGACATCCCCATTGGGAAAAATCCCATCAAACTGGTCCCCAATTTTGATGACATCAAAGTCAAGTTTACCAACCGTGGTAAAACTTACCCGGCCTACTATGAACAGATGGGATTGTTGCAGCGGAGCACTCCCTCTGACTTGCGGGCTCACGACCGCCTCAACGAGCTGCTCAAGTTCAAGCCGATGATGTCAGAATATGAACGGGCAGTGGCCATGTTCACTGTTGATGTGTTCATCCGGGCCTGCGAAACCGCCAACCTGACTTACTTCTTGATATCTGGGTCGTTGCTGGGCTCCAGGCGCCACCATGGTATGATCCCGTGGGATGATGACATAGACATCATTGTGAATGGCTCGGAGTGGCGGAAGGTTCGTGATGTTTTGGCAAATATTCAGGGTTTTGAACTTTTCTCACCCGGCAAGGTCCAGTGGAAGTTTTTTATGAGTGCTCTCCCTCAGGGTAATAGACCTTTTAAGTGGCCGAATATAGATTTGTTTTTCTTTAACGAGGATGAGACGCATATATGGGCCCTGACCTGGGGGGCCAAATCCTCCTTGTGTAGTAAAAAATCTGATGTCTTCCCGCTAAAGAGGAGAAAATTTGAATTGTGGAACATGCCTGTGCCCAGAGCGTCAAGGTCGTTGGTGGCCGCCGAGTTTGGCGATTACCGCTCCAACTGTGTAACGGCAAGCTATGTGCACAAAACAAACGTCGCCTACTCATCTTCAAGCCTGGTGGAAGTCAGCTGCCGAAATCTTCACGAAGTGTTTCCTTTCGTCTTTCAGGAGACAGGGGATCAGGGTATAGTCATTGAGGTGCTCAGACTTGCCGGCAAGCCATTGGATAATATAAGCTTGTCTGAGGACTTCTAATTGTTACTGTTGTTTGCTGTGCTTATAACTCGGCCGCTGCTGCTGCTTGTATCAAGGTATGGGACATAAAAACTGACTATTATATTATTCTCTATAAAAATAAAGCCTAAATAGGACTCTTCAGGAGTGCTCTTATTTAGTGCTTTTCAAATGTTTCTCACTTAAAAGTTTTGATAAGACATATAAGTGGTTCTCATATTAACTAGAGGTGGGCTTACTTCCCAGATATATCCCTTGCTATAATAATTTTATTTTAAAATGTGTGTTTGAACTTTGTTTGACTGTGTTCCAGTGTTGTTGTTTTTTTAATGCAACTTGTGTTAAATGAAATTGTTTCTTACACTGCTTTGTACATTACTTACAGAAATGTGACATTAACTTGCATAGCTGGCACTTGCATGTTGTGGCACTTACTTGAAAAAATGTGACATTCACTTGCAGAAATGTAGCATTTATTTGTAATCATGTGAGATCTACTTATATTACTCTCAAAATGAGGTTATTTTGTTAATTATATTTCCTTATTTCACTTAATGCAAATAATCTTAAGGCCTCACACCCCATTCCAGCCTCACCAAATTTATTAGCCCTGATCATTAAATGAACTCATTGAACTCTTCAGTTATGCCGGAGGACAATTACTTAATTAGCCATGAAATTTGATCATTTTCCCTGGACTTAAAGAACCTTCAAAACATGTCTTATGGAAAGGAAAATTGTCTTCACTGCTTTGCTCCACCGATTGGTTTGTTTACTCTGTTAGAACCTTTTGTTTCCTGATCTTGACATTTTCACTTAACTCTTCATTCAATATCAAAAGGGTAGCTATTGTTATGTAACAGAATCTTTAAAAATCATGTACATTAGGAACTGATTGCAGCAAGCTGTCGAGCCTGAGCTCTTAATCCCCTTCCCAAAGCACCCCACNCTTTTGCAGGACCCCCCCCCCCCCCCCCCCTGAAAAGTCCCCTATCGGGCTGCGAAGGTTGGAGGATCTCCTTGTGGCAGGTCGCCCGCCCCCTCCCCCCCCCACCAACTACCATTAGACTGACCAGCTTTATGGCGGCCATCTCATACCCTACCCTGTTTCTATATGGCCACGGTTGGCAAAGGTTACAGTGAACACCAAATTTGGGTAGACAACATGCGTGCCCTTTGTCTGCCTGCACAGGATCACTTAATGTTGGTTATGTTTCCCGGGGAGGGGGGGGCTTTTGTCAGCACTCCACTACAGACATGACCAGAGCCACGAGGGGAGTTTTAATATTAAAAGTTATAGTTCTATTTAGGAGACAATATAGAAAATGACTGAAGTCACTAAGAAATACACTCTCAGCTCAACCACTAGCAAAAGATCAAATCTCACATTTTTTTGTTCTTCTCATAAAAATCCTAAGTTTTTAACATTTGCCTATTTATTTGTTATGTCTATGTTGTGGCACTAATGTATGTTTAGTAAGTTGTACCACAGATTTAATTACCTGTAAACTATAGAGATGTAAGTTTAGTAAGTTGTACCAGAGATTTTATTACCTGTACAATTCTAGGGGTTCACTCTTTACAAATCTAAATCATTTGTCTGAAGGTTTTCATTTTAGAGATGACTTGACAGAACATAATTTTACTGTGGTTGTAATCTTCTTCACGGGTATTAATATTAATCAGACAATATTTAGAATTCCAATCCCAGAGCTCAAATGTTATTGTTTTTCATTTATGATGTACACATACAATTTTGTTTACCTACTCTGAACAAATTTAACAATAACTGACATGAGTTAATGAACTAAAAGGGTCAAACTCTGTCTCTATCAATACTGAAAACAAAGACTGCCTGGCCTGCGTCATGGTTACTTATAAAACATTACAGAGTAAATTTTTCAGATTTTAAAACTGTTGCCTGTGTGTGTGTGTGTGTGTGTGTGTGTTTGTGTGCATTATACTGGGGGGGAGGATTTAATGAGGATTTAATGTGAATGTATATTTCCAAAAGAAATACACGTAACAGGTTATTAAAAGTGTATTCTCATTTATATCCTTGTAAGAGAAGTTGAATTGCCAGGATTTGTGGGGATTAAACATTTTTTTTAAAATTTGGAAACAGCTGTAGTTAAACTTATTGCACACGTGTTACATAATCATTGGATTCAACACACTTCATAACTGAAGATGTGTATAAGATTCAATAGAAGTCCAACATTGGATTCAACACACTTCATAACTGAAGATGTGTATAAGATTCAATAGAAGTCCAACATTGGATTCAACACACTTCATAACTGAAGATGTGTATAAGATTCAATAGAAGTCCAACATTGGATTCAACACACTTCATAACTGAAGATGTGCATAAGATTCAATAGAAGTCCAAGTATTGTATTATTGTAATAATTTTCCTGGCAGGGTGGACATGGGCGAGCTTCAAATAATGTACAAGTAGTTGGGTCGTAGTGTTTTAAAATTGTATTTTAGCAAAAATCTTACTTAAAGTATCATTTCAAAACATGGTACAGACGTAGATACATAAATCCATGAGTATGTGTTACAGATGTTGTGAGTCAACTTTTCCCTTTAAAGACCTTTTATTTTCAAAAAAGAAAATGTTTTCATTGTGATAGTTTTCACAGATATAAAAGTGAAGGCTTTAGTTGTATCTTGAGTAAATAAAAATACCCCGAGGTAAGTAATGCTCCTAAAAAAATGTTTACAGTGTAACCTATTTCTAAGTCATTCACATATTTTGTATTCAAGGTTTTCACAATTTAATAATTTAATTTAATTGAACTGGGAGCATAGCAAACAATATATTATATACTGGTACACCAATGATTATTGAGGATCATAGTTTGGTTTCCAAACTGAACACTGGTGGTTTCCCACTGCATGCTGTCCCATTTCAAGCAAAGTTCATTATATATGATTTGATTTCGGTCAAAACTAATGGCATCTGACCAGCGGTGGAAGCAACTTTTTACCATTGCTTTTTAAAAAAAATATGTTATTTGGTATTTCATACTTAAAAGTTGTTAAATAAAATGTACATAACACCATAAAGTAAATTCGATAAAAAAATATAACGCAAAAAAAATGTTTTAAAAAAAATTATGATAAATTATATTTCTGTCATTTGACGGGTCACATTTAGTGTATTGATATTTCTTGATAACTGCTGCTGATTTATATTTTGCATTGCATCATGTCTGTACAGATTGTGCTCTTTTCAGTCTGTGATATGAAATAATTGTTTCATTATTATTTTATATGTTTTTGTTGTTTTTTTTCAACATGATAACATTCATTCTAATTTAAAATATCACAGAATATTTTAATTGTAATTGGAAGCAAATGAAATGTCCTAATAGGTCCAAATTCAATGGCTTTACTTCTGTGTTGCAATGAAATTCAAAATCTTACTTTCAGTTTTTGTTTAAATTTCCTTATGCTTGCCATTTGATGGTGCTCTATGGTTTGAAATGGTGCATAGAATTATTTTTATCTGATGAGTTTTCACTTACTGTCAGTTTGATGGTGCCTGTTCCATTCTTCTGCATGAACTCTCTTGACATATACTGTTTGAAATGGTTGGAAGCATATATATATGTGTTTAAATTTAAAGGTCAGTAGGTATGAATGAGTACACGCATTGCTATATCATTTTTTTTAACACATGTCCCACGCAAAGAAAAATATTCTTATTCTTCTATATTATAAATTAAGTTGGTATTCTCATTGGCTTTCAATAATTAAGAGTGATCCTCCTTCCCTGAGCAAGTTATTTTAATATTTATGTTTTTCATTGGTGCCACTTAGGATCAGATAATGGAATGCTCCATCCATCATTTAATGCTGCATCAGATGGATTGCTTTGTCAAGGTGTTTTATAAAACTTATGTTCAGACAGTGCCAATAACTTATTGGTTGTTTTTTTTAAGTCTCAGCAAAAACAACAAAGAAAATTGTTTTGCCTGTCTTCCATTGTAATTTATTTTTAAAAAACTGTCCATCTACATCCATCTCTTATTCTCAAGGAAGGTGAAATACATTTCATGAACTTCATTCTTTTAGGTCTTCACTTCATGTCTGCATGTAATTAACTGGTTGATCTTTGAATTGATCTACCAAGGCCTATAGAAGGGAGTGTTCTTGGGAGAAATCCCTCCTAAAGGACAACATGGTGGAAGTGTGGTAGTAATAGCGTGTAAATCTATCCCCCCCCCCCCCCCCCCCCCCCCCCCCCCCACTTCAGACAGTATTGGGGCTTTGGCACCTGTGATGCTCAGCCAGAAGAGCTTCTGTGATGTTACCCTCATGTGTAATGCATGAAGGCAAACAACTTCAGTGCTCTTATTATGTTGCTTGCTAGTGGGGCATTCATTTCCAGCTATCAATAAAGTGAACCAAACTGAAGGATGTGGGTTTGGTGATGCAGTGAAGAGGGCTGTTAATGTCATGTTTATATTTGTGTAAACTGTTGATCCAAATACTCAAGAGCCTGTTCAAGATGTCCATCCCTCAAGCTTTATGTGTTTAGCAATGTTAATCTGGACTAAGCCATTCCTGGTTGCTTGGTACATGTTATGTATTAGGAGCTGATCCCCCTTTAAGGTTAAGTCTTTTTCAATTTTTTATAGAGAAATAAGTTGTCTGTTCTCATTAAATAATCTACAGAAGGAGATAAACACGGCCAAGTCATCTGTGGGCCCGACAATCTTCTTTCAGTTTAAAGTTGCACAAAGAGGCCTGACGAATGAAAAAAGTTGTTTCAAATTGTGTTGAGATGGATGCACAATTTATTATCCAATGAATTCTTATATCATACATCCCTGACAAGTTCACATATGAAAGCTAAAGATGAACAAAAAACATGATTAGTAGACATTATTCAAATAATATAGTTTACACAATCTTTATGTAATTGTGTTCAATGTTTGTCCAGGCTTTTGCACAAAATTTTTTTTATTTTGTGTGAATTAACAAATTAAATTGTTCTATTTTCATTATTTTAACCATTTGAAAAAATAAATGATTTCTTATCTTGAATATGAAGCTGCCCTTTTTGTATTTTGAAGATTTGTGTGCAGCTTGAAAGTGGGAGTGATCATGCATTTATGTAGCCTCTAAAGTAAACATTTTACAGGAAACGTTTTGGTTCATTTAATTTTTAGTTGTTCGGGTCGAATTTGGCATTCGATTGCTATACCCATTCATGAAACTTTCAAAATTGGGTAAAAGAGAAATTTGACTTCTTAGGATTTATAATTTTTAATAACCCACAACAATGGCAAAATGAACTTTTCAATTTTGTCATACATATTAAACTGCATGACTAAATTATACAATTAGAACAAATAAACTAGTGTGGTAGAAATCCTTTTTTTTTTTTATTATAAAACTTTATTTCTGTATCAAATAGTTCTTCAGCTGATAAACTTACCAACAAAAATTAAGAAAGAAAATAAAAGTTTAAAAAATTAACATGGGCAGTTAGAAATAATAAATTTAAAATATTGATATGTTGTCAATATAGATAATTTTAGTTAATATATAAATAGCATGGATCTTGAACTCAATATTTATGAGTTGACTTCCATAGATAAAAACACAAAATAAAAGATCTACATATTACATGTACCCTAGCATTTTTCTTAATATTTAATTAAATACCATTAAGACATTATGCTTCAGGGAACTTGCTCAATATTTTACTATTAAAATACATTTCTGTAATACACATTATCTCTGGTTAACAATCTATAAATGATACTAAAGTTCAAAAGAACAAGATTAAAATTATATTTAAAAAAATAGTAACAAATGTAAAACAGATTAAATAATACTTTGACAAACATATAATTTTATTGAATTTGTTGTCCATTTCTTTTCCTTTTTTTTCTTTTTGAATTTAAATGACATCCACATTTTAAAAAATAAATATAAATAGTACAAATTTACTTAATATAGCAATGTTTCAAGGTAGATTTTGGAAAGTTACCCTGGATTTCTAAGGCAGATACATTTCCCTGGACTATCAAAACCGCTAAATATGGTGAAGCAAGCAGGCATTAAGATCAACATAATTTAGTTCAGCACCCTTGACAAACACAAGCTAATGTCTTTATTAGAGATGTGTAATTAATGACACAGCATGTGATATGTTTTAATATTGCATGGCCAGGAGCTTAATTTCTTAGTTCTATTTTCTGACTGTTGACAAAATTGAAACTATATTTGGAAAGAGTGTAAGGAAATTAAATATATTTTAAATACTATAACAGACGATTCTGTTGACTAGAAGTTAGAAGTCAATAAATTTTGGGGTCTGTAATGGCATGACATAATAGACTATAGAATAACCCTCACAAGCGAAAAAAACTAAATTCTCATTTTAAATAAATATTAAATAACTGAAATTACTGAAGAGAAATCTTTTCGCTTTATATTTCATGAACTTTTTTGTAAAGGTCCATAAGGTCCTTAGGATCAGGTTAACAAAAAAAGATAATAGAAAAATTACCCTTGTTTGCCATGCACAGATCAAGACTGTTCATATAATCTTAGCTGAAAGACAATTTCTGATTCATGGCAAACATTTTGTATAAGTGTTTAGTTGTTTTTTTTAAATGTAAAAACAACAGCACTAGAGATATAGCTTACAACTTGAGACTCTACTTCAGCTGATAAAAGTAAACTGATGAATAACATTGTATATATCTTCACTGTTTTAGATGCAACTTTTAGCAGTCTTTAGACCCAATGCTCCCCTTGCAAGATAAAAGTCTTGAATAACAAAACATAAAATATTTTGTCTGTCAATGATTTTAAAAAAATGTTTACATTTTCATATAAATAAAATTTATAAAAATAATAGCAATGTCATTTATCATAGAGGGATTAATTTATTTAAATTTATTGTTGGTTGCCCTGAATAAGATTTCTTGAAGCCTTGAAAACTAGTTTTCAGCTCTTAATGGTTTTTTTGTTCATTGTAATTAAAAATGTAGAATGTTTAAAATTGCGGTTAGATAGAAAAATAAAATATTACAATAAATATAAGCTTTTTTGTTTTTAGAGTGTCAATCCCTTTTTTTAAATGGAATTTTTTATCAATGTAGATTAAACATAGACATATTTAAGCCGGAAATTACTTAAACTTAAAGTGGAAATATTTGAGTTTTAAAATATCTAGACATAATTTGAAATCACAAGCTAGATTAAGGTCACCAATATTAAGTAGGGCATTGCATAAGTTATTTTTATTTTTAGTATTACAACAAAATGAACAACTAAAAGAGTTTAAAAACTTAAAACAATGGATTTCTATGAATAATGTTTAAGAACATTTACATAACTAATAACATGTAAAAAGCATACTTATGTTTTGACATTCAGTTCATCATCAAAAATGGACAGTTAAAAATCATCCAGAATAATATTACTTAAAAAAATTATGTATTATATATTTTGAAATAAGAAACACAACTTACATCAAAGTATAACTCAGTTAATATAAACTCGATTATCTGTGTATGGATTACAAAGTTTGTGGATTATCACTATGTATTTCTTTTTATTTCCTGGTGAATATTCTCAATTTAATAGGCTGACTCTTTGATGCAGTAGATAAATTCACACAACCCCCCCCCCCTCCCCTACTATTTAAGTAATAATTCAAATAGGCAGCACCAAACAAAAAGATATACAGATTTTAATAGTTGGAATTGGCTCCCTTTTTTTTTCCAGTTTATAAAATGTTTCCTAAAATAATTACTGCAAGCTACTTACTCTATTGCTCCTTTTTTAACTTAAAATTGATGTTTATATATTTCTTGGTTAGAAATATTTCATTATAAGTTTATAAGAGGTATACAAACTACTTAATGTTTTTCAAACATCCATGGCGGGTCTCTCTACAATGGGCTTGACAATTTAAAGTGCACTATTTTGATTTTCTTAAATGCAGGTTGAAGGTGTTTTTTCATTCAGCATGAATTAAATAGATTGCCAAACTACAAGAATATTGAAATTCCTAAATGCATATTTTAAATATAGCATTTGTAAAGAGATTTTGTTTATCAATAAACTATAGAGGTATTCATTACAAATATATTTTTTTATCATGAGAAAAAATTGGAATATATTTTAATGTATTTAGGTTTTTGACATTTAAAAAAATAAATTATACTTATTTAATCATCACAGAAGATTGAAATAATATATTGTTTATATTTACAAAAGAAGACTAATTGGCAAATTGTAGAAATTCATAATGAAGATGTGCATTTTAAATTGTTGAAAAGTTTTTAAAATTATTTTATTGGAATGTAAATAAATGCATTTTAAAATTTGGATTTAGAACCCACCATATGGAACAGATTACACACATTCAGCAAGTAGTGGAAGAGCATACTGATAAAAAAAGTTTTCTTTACAAAAATTTCAGAGCAGCTCAAACAAATCTATACAATACTTATTTGTTAAAGGCACTACAATGACAAACTAATATCAATGTGGGTCAGAAGCATGAGATGTCAAGTTGTAAAAATAATAATAATAATAATTGGCGTTGTGATTTTAAAAAAACAGGAGACCTTTTAGAACCATGATCCTTGGAATTCTCTTCACATCGTCAAAAAACAGTGTCAGGAATGTAACAATATATATTAGAAAGTCTTTTTTTCTTCCATTCATTAATAACATTTAGAAGAACTGATTTTCTCCTGAACAACAGCCAAGCCAAACTTGGTTCTTCATGTTGTTGACTGATTAGTAGTAGTGTCCAAGTCTAATGTGTTTGTCATTGTGGAATATAAGGGATTTGTGAATCCTTCTTGGTCAGCAGTTGGATCAGAACCATTTGGCTGGAATCCTTTAGAAAAAGTAGCATAGCCAGCTCTGTCAAGATGGACCTCTGAATCTTCTGCCACGGGGTCAAAACTTTCAGGATTCGATATGTCAAACATTCTATTGGACACCGCAATCGATCCATCGTGGGTGTGCTCAATCTCATTATGAAATCTCTCATGTGGTATGCCAGCCTTAAAATGGCCTCTGTACCTGAGCACAACAATAACGATGACCACTATCAGGGCGATGGCAATAATTATAGTCACACAGGCAGCCACGATCACAGTGTTTTTTCTGTCAGTATCATCTGCCAGTTCATGGGTTGGGGCCTCATCTGACACAGTGGTGCCAATATATGAAACTGTTGATGATGCCACTGTAGAGCCAGGCTGAGAGGTTAGCTTGGTGGTAGAGGTTGACAGTTTGGTTACAATTTCTGGTTTTGTTGTTGTGGTACTAATTGTTGTACTTTGAGTGACAGGTACAGACGTGGTGTTCGGTTTGGATGTAGTTGGGTAATCTGTTTTTAATTTAAAAAGAAATGAGAACCAGGCAATTCATAGTAAAATGGTTTTTAAAAAGAAAATATAAGCCTTCAAATTTTTTTCTCCAAGTCATACAAAAGAAGAAAATTATAATTATTTATTAACTTTAAATTAGAATTGGATTGTAGCTAATTATATATTTTTAATGCCCACATTTTTCATACAATTATTTCAGACCAGGATTTCTCAACCTTTTCTATATTCTGTATTCTTATGAATTGTTAAACAAAGTCTGGCGAGTAGTCAAAATAAATCTAAATTACTACTTTAAATTCAATTCTTCTTCACACCCCATGAAATGCTACCTCCCACTCCAGTTTGGGAAACCCTGTTTTAGACTGAATAATATCTACAATAACTACAAATATTTTACTTACTGATACATCTGACCCCAGCATCTTCTGAGTGTTGACAGTTATGGGTTGAAATTCCTTTGTGCCTACATTCATCCAATGAGTTTTCTCCACCAGTACATGTAACATCATCTAATAGTATCTGCCCTTCTCCAGGTTTGTAGCCATTTGGCAAAATTAAAGCAAGACCTATAAAACCAAATTGTATTTTAAGTTTTGCTCTCAGGAAGTAAACTTGTGTACGTTTCAAGGAATATTAATGTTGTAGATAAACTATAACAAAAAATGGGTCAACACTGCATCAATTTCTAGAACTCACTAGAAATATAAATATATAATATTATTATTAAAGACAAAAAATGATTTCGAGATTCAAAAAAAATAAAGCTACAAACATGAGTTAGTTACAGCACCATGGAACATATATAGCCCAGAGGTATTTCTAAACTGTGCAATGACTTTGATCCAACTCAGTTGCTTCAGTGGTTAGGTAGCTTGGAACACTATGAACCTTTTTTATTTCATTAACGCCACACTTTGGTCCATTTTGCAAAGGACTTCATTCTAATGTATATTTTTGTTTTGCTTAATTTTAAATGGGAAATTGATAATTGATGCTTATTAAAAATTGCAAACTTTTCTGTTAGTGTCATGGTGCAACCTAAATTTTGGTAGTTTTCTGACTTCAACCCATTGTTTGAAAATTTAATAAACCCCTTACCATCTTGAAAACCCAGGAATCTGCAAACAACTCTGGCGTCTGCGTTGTCCCACTCATCATCACACACTGTTCCCCAAACATTTAAGCCAGTTGCAAATACCTCCACTCTTCCTTCACTTGCTTTTCCATCACCGAGACGAATATTTGTAATCTCTATAATGAAAAGTATAAAAAAAAACACCTTTTGTTTGACTTTTTAGTCATGGAATCTTGCTTGTAGAGTCAAAATTTGAAGCTCCACAAATAAGTAGAAAAGTCTTATAAGTAATCACTTTTTAATTTATATTTAAATATATTTTTTATTATATTTATCAGTATCTGTTTTCTAATTTTAAATTCAAGCATGTCATTAAAGCATTCCGGACCTTCTAAATTTAATTATTTTAAAAAACATTATGTTTTGAAACAGAACCATACAGCAAACAGTTTTTCATAAAGCATTTTTCAGATTGATCCCAATCCAACCTTATATTTATTATAGACCTTGAATAATGTTTTATTGGTGTAAAGCGACTGTAAGATAGCCATGTTGATGTAGTAAATGACAGATATTTTGTACGAAAAAAAAAATTGTGTACCTGTATCATATAATATCTATCACATTATTTAGTTTTTTTATTATTTTATTTTATATCATAGTTTTCTAGATTTAATTCCATTACATAGATGAGTATGAAACTGTGTGACAACTACTGAAATTAAAAGTTTAAGTTATTCTATCAGGCTCAGTAAATTAGAGTAAACATTTCTCCATAATTTAATCATTTTAAGTTGCTTAATATATGAATTTCCAAGTGATTAACCAAAGTTACTTACTGACTTCCTCATTGAAACATGTTGTGTAGGCATCCCCTCCACACACAAACACATGATCCCCGCCATCAAAGCCTGAGTTCAAGCAGGAGAACAAATTTTTTTCAGTACCGTCGCATAGGAAAAAGCTCATATAGGGTGCTATGTACGGCAATGAAGAGTTAATGTATTCATATGGTGCGCCATCCATGTAGCCTAATGTTTTACAAAACACTTTTGAATTTGCGGCATTCCAGTTGATCGCACATACGGAGCCATACTTCCCATCAATGCCAATCTCAACTCTGCCAACATTTGTGGTGTTGCCACCTTGAAGTCTGTATCGCACTCCTGTAGAATTTCATGGTTTACTTTAATTAAATGTAATTGGGAGAAAAAAAGCCAACGTGTGAGTGATTAACTATCAGAAAATTCTTGGCATTTGTTTAACATCTCAAGAAATAGTTCAGTACCTAATAACTCAGTTTCAGCCTTTCCATCTCTAGACCTTCTAACAGCTCAATTGGTTAAGCTACAAATTTGGCAAATATTATTTGGTATATATATAATTATTCTTATCTACATATTAGTTTACCTTCACCCTTAAAGCAGATCACACCAGCATCATTAGATTCATAGCTGCAATTTTGGTGAGCATTTCTAGAGTGTTGGCAATTTTCTAACGAATTTTCATTTCCTGTGCAAGTTACTTGATTCCATAGAATTGGTAGTCGATTCCGGAACAAATGAAGATAAATAACACCACCTGTTGAGAAGAAAAATAATATTATGGGCAATATTATAAAGTATTTCGATTTTTTTTTTTTTACATGTTTAAATGCAAAATTTTAAAAAATCCCATTAACTTGTTTATATGTCAAAGAAATGTGTGATCCCAAGGAGCCGACAGCTTTTTAAACTCTTTTTCTTGTTAAATATACCCAGATAAAAATGTAGAAACTTTAAAGCAAAATTGTATTTGAAATAAATTTTTAAAAAGCATTTAGCATAAACAGAGGAGCTTGAAATTTTAAAACTAAAATAACCAAGGGAATAATTTTTCAATGCTCATTATCTATTACGCTGTCAGTTGAAACAAGGCTTTCTTCACAGTATTGCAGGCCTAGCAATGTACTGGGTATGAAGGCCAAGCAATGTACTGGGCTTGAAGGTCTAGCAATGTACTGGGTATGAAAATCAGGGCAAAACTATTTGTTAAATGAATAAAAGAAACAATTACCTGTAAAGTGTCCAATATGCCTGCATGCGACCGAAGCTTCCTTGTCAGTGAAGTTATGCATACATATTCTACCCCAAGCTCCATTTTCACGTATTTCAATAATACCATGATTTTCATCGGTTCTGATGGTATCATTTGATAGCTGCACTTGAAATCCTGAAGAGAAGACAGAATAATTTTGTTTAAAATAAAAAAGTGTGTCTAATATAGCCTACTTAATGCCTGAAGTTAAGATAAAAGAAAACATTTTTTAAAACTTTCTAGATATCTAGAAACAAAATCAACCTGAAGCCAGTTAGGACATCCGTGTTTCTATTAATTAACTTTGAAATAAGTGTAAGTTGATTGATAGAAACATTTTGGATATCATAACTGGCTTCAGGTCAATTTTCTTTCTACATATCTATGTTAGTGGAATGAGCAATCAACTTTTTGTCAATGATTGGAGCCAGTTTTTTTTTATTGGCTTTTAAAAACTTAAAGTAATTACTGAAAGATACACAATTTGGCATCATGCACAGTACTGTGCCATAAATTAAGCATTGTTAATGTCACAAAGACTGCCTAATTCCCACAGGGAAAAATGTTATGCATTACTTTCATGATTTTTTATATCTCACATAAGAAACTCCCACTATTTAACTATTGGGGTTTTAACCCATGGTTATTAGAAAAAGGTAATATTCCAAATAGAGTGTTTTCACAAGCACATAAACCTTCCGTTTAATGATAAGCTACTTTTCTTAAAGAACATTTCTTCTTACTGCTATTACCCTCAGGTGGGGACAGATCATTCTAATTCATCCATTCATTTTTTCTAAAAAACAAACCAAAGTTAATTTGAATAAAAATGATCTTCTTTCTACTCACTCAAGTCTTCTTGTGTCAATGTTTTATTAAAGCAAGCAACTGACACATATGTATTTGATGAACATTGACTGTTACTTGATATCAGACATTTTGAGAGGGAAGTTTCATTGCCTGAAATACAATTAGATCCCTATTGCAAATGAAATACAATTTTAAGAAGTAAAACTTAAATATTTCTTGTAGGAACCTATAAAAAAATAAATTCATCCCTGTCAATTCATTTGATGACAATTTATGTTTGTCTAAGTGAAAGTAACAGAATTCAAAACGAGCTGGAGTGATCCAATATTGATTTGACTATACTTTCTTTAGTTTCTGTCAAAACTTCCAGTTAACCAGAAACTTGTGTGACTTGGTGTCGAATAGTTTCTGTGAACTCGAAACTGGAGTGTTTTTTCACAAGTGAAATAATTTAATGTAGATTTCGTGTGTTCAAATTGTTTTATTTATGTGCTGAAAATGTACAATGTAATCAAAAAACATTTCCATTTGTTAGGATCAATAAAAGAATCTTATCTTATCTTATAAAATCATACTTTAAGAAATATTACAAGAAAATACAGTACAGTAGTAATTTAGATGAATTTCAAAAAGGAGAAATATATTGAGACTATAGCAGGGTTTTTTGGATAAAGTTCCAGTAAATGTTCTCATCTGTCTCCTTTCTCTAGACTATATCTATGGTAGAACCCATCACTACAGTTAAAGCCCATCACTACAGTTAAAGCCCATAACTCTGGTTGCAATTTTCGGTATGTACCTCTACCACTGAAATGTATTAAAAAAAACAAAAGATCGCTTCATTACCTGAAGAGATAAGAAATAAAAGTTGAAAAGTCTATGGAGGTTATATTTTGTTGATGTAGAGAACTTGCAGTTTGTTGTTATTGAATTAAAAAAAACCTACCAGAACATGTAACTGTGTCCACTGCAATAGACAAGGTCTTGTCCATGTCCCCAAACAGACCTCCATGTACAGGTACCCCATCAAAAAAATTCTGGTACAAACTTCGACACGCTACGGCTGCTTCTTGTCGACCAAAGTGATCAGAGTCACAGATGTAGGTCCACTTGTTGTTTTCATTGAAAAGCAAGGCCCCACTTGGAAAACCAAGCTTTTGATTTAACTTCACTAAGGAAAACAACCACAATTGTCAGCATAAATCAAAGACAAGAAAGCTAAAAATGAAACATGGGTTTATTAAGTTAGTGTACAATTAACTTTATCAAGAACAAGAACCCTGGGGGATGTAACAATCCATTAGTGGAGTGATCAAAGTTAATATCTGACGTAAGCATCATTTCCAAAATAAAATTCAATAACAGAATCAAGTAATCTGTGCTAAAAAAATTGCCTAAATAGTAGCCTTGCATGTTCTTACCATCCTTAAAGCAGAAGACTGTTGCATCATCTGCATGATCAGAACATGGGGGAGACAACCAGGCAAAGATGCTTTGCTCTGGGATTTCCTCCTGGAAGCCTGTGTGTGGACACTGATGTAGGGCAGACTCTTTGCCGTCACACTGGATATCTCTAATCCATATCGGACCCGTCCCTGATCCGTATTTCCCTTCAGCCTCAGCCTCGCCATCAGTAAACTGAAGTTGTCTGCAAGCGACCTTGGCATCTTTGTTGTCCCAAGAGCGCCCACATATTGTTCCCCAGTTGTTATCAACAGCCATCTCTATACGGCCCGCATTTGTCTGGCTACCACCAGAAAGTCTGTATTTCACACCTACATAGAAAATCATAAAGAATTACAGCGAGTCATAGATAAATTTTAAACATATTATTATATAACTGTCATAAATATTGAACTATAAAACCATTTTTCTTGTTCCAGATTTATTTTGTTTATAAACGAGCATTTCTTTAATTTGAGAATAAGGCAAAAGGAAGCAATGAGCATGAAAGAAAATGTACCAGAATTTCTGAAGCACACTACAGAGGCTGAGTGAGCAGATGAGCAGTTGCCCAGTTTAAGCCGATCATTGAATTTGCACTGACTCAGGCTAGACTCATTCCCATTGCAAGTCACATTGCTCATCCAATATGGCCCCAGCTGGGCGGCTGTAACATAGGTCTGAAAGTAATAAAGAATTCTTATGAGTAACTTCTCTATTTATCTAAGATAAAGTTATCAGCATTAAGGAACCTAGAAATCGTCCAAAGAGTGGTTCAAGCATCTAAATGATGAAAACATGTAAATGCAAGGAACAGTGGTAAATGTGAAGAGTCTAGAAATAAATGAATGCTTCTCAGGCCAGAGATAAAATTATGGACTCCTGGGGTACCAGATGGGTGTTTGTAAGAGCTCCAGTCAAGGGTTAGTTTGTAAGAGCACCAGTCAAGGGTTAGTTTGTAAGAGCACTAGTCAAGGGTTAGTTTGTAAGAGCACCAGTCAAGGGTTAGTTTGTAAGAGCACTAGTCAAGGGTTAGTTTGTAAGAGCACTAGTCAAGGGTTAGTTTGTAAGAGCACCAGTCAAGGGTTAGTTTGTAAGAGCACTAGTCAAGGGTTAGTTTGGGTGAGCAAACAAACCAACCATTGCATACTTACATTTTCTGCTTTTTCAAATTATTAGAACTAACATGTCATATCATGTATTTGAAGTTATTAGAACTAACACGTCATTTTGCTTTTTCAAATTATTAGAACTAACATGTCATATCATGTATTTGAAGTTATTAGAACTAACACGTCATTTCAGCTTTTTCAAGTTATTGGAACTAACATGTCATATCATCTATTTGAAGTTATTAGAACTAACACGTCATTTCAGCTGTTTCAAGTTATTAGAACTAACATGTCATATCATCTATTTGAAGTTATTAGAACTAACATGTCATTTCAGCTTTTTCAAGTTATTGGAACTAACATGTCATATCATCTATTTGAAGTTATTAGAACTAACATGTCATTTCAGCTTTTTCAAGTTATTAGAACTAACATGTCATTTCAGCTTTTTCAAGTTATTGGAACTCACATGTCATATCAGCTATTTCAAGTTATCAAAAGTAAAATTTCATTATATCAGATATTTGAAGTCATTAGAACTAACATCAGCTAATTTTAAAGGTAATTTTAGTTCAGGGCTCTACTTGCTAAAACCTTTCTTTTCACATTGTTTTGGTCTAAGAGGAAACATGTCTCTCCCAGAAACCTCCCACACTGTTCAAAATGGTCTAATTATGATCAGTAGACATCTCCTTAAACCTATAGTTAGTATTCCACTCAGTGGTTCAATTAGACTTACGTTAACATATGAATGGAAGTAAGCAAAACCATCGTTGTAATTGTTACTTTGACAGAGGACCTTGGCGGCAGCATCTGTCCAGCCATTGCTACAAATTCTGCCCTGAATGCCCATATGATTTACTGTCACTGTCCCGGATCCTTCAGAACTTTCGGTAATACTAAATGTGTATTCTGTAATAAAAAAAAAAATTTAAAAAAAAAAAAAACACTCTTTTTTGTATCAGGATATAAGAGGTTTGAAAGGACAGAGAAACATTTTTAAAATCTAAAGAAAGAAAACAGAATTTTGCTTCAGACACTAAGCTGTGAAAGGGACAGAAATATTTTTAAAATCTAAAGAAAGAAAACAGAATTTTGCTTCAGACACTAAGCTGTGAAAGGGACAGAAATATTTTTAAAATCTAAAGAAAGAAAACAGAATTTTGCTTCAGACACTAAGCTGTGAAAGGGACAGAAATATTTTTAAAATCTAAAGAAAGAAAACAGAATTTTGCTTCAGACACTAAGCTGTGAAAGGGACAGCAATATTTAAAATTTTTAAAGAGCAGCTAAAAATATATTAAAGATAAGATTTTTTATTGATCCAAATAAATGGAAATGTTTTTTGATTACATTGTAAATATTCATTTTCAGCACACAATTAAATATATATTTTAACAAAGACAACATTTTAAAATTTGAGGACATCTAAAGTATTTCTCTAGCTTAGAAATCAGCCAAGCAATGAATTACCTGTCTCATTTGTTTCATCATCCAAATCAAGGCAGACAACTGAAGCATATGATTCACTCTTGCAGTCTGTTGTCTGCACACAATCCTGAAGACTTTTCTCATGTCCACTGCACTGTATACTGATGTTTGATTGCAGTGACTCATGGCTGATAGTTTCACCTTCATAGGCAGAGCAACAAAGAGCCTGTCCGTCATAATGACCTAACTCCTGGCATACTTTTCTAGCTGACATGTCAGTGAAGCCATCATCACACACCTTGAACCATTCCCCATTGCTAAAAAAGTTTACTGGACCATGCATATATGATTTACCCGGACCAGTTCCTAATTTGACTGAAAGAATATACAAATAAATATACATTTTTATACATTTTAAATTATTGCGTTGAACAAAACTAGATAAAACAAAAAATTTTCAGAATCATGTTAATAAAAACAATTTATTACAACAAAAAAAAACACCCCAAAAAAAACCCACATTAAATTTTGTTTGTTATTATATTACTTCATTATTTATTGTGGATCAATATTATTTGTGCTTCATTGTTTCTTTAAATTATTATACATTTTTAACTAGTAACCAAGGCAAAGAAACAACACAAAAAAACTGTGTAAAATGTTAAACCTTTTAACTCACCAGAAGTGTAGCAAAAAATGCCTGCATCACGAGTGTGAGCTGAGCAAGAGCCAACACCATCAGACTTCCAACCTTCATGAGGACACATGTTAAGATTATCTTCCTTGCCTGTGCACCTAGGACTGATTTCCCAAACAAGGCCTGAAATGGGAAAGCAAGAAGTGTTAATTGGAGCAAACAAGAGAATAATTTTTCTCACAACAGTTAAAGAAATCATTTCTTCATCTAAAATATAGACCTTATATAACCTTTTTTTAACAAGTTGAATTTTTTGTTGTTGTATCCAAGTTGATAATGTTGTTATAGTTATGGCCTGTATTTTTATTCCCCACAAGCCATGCCATTCAACCTTACCTCCTGTCCCCCCCTTTTTTGTTTTGACATTGACGTGACCGGTTAAATGTGTAGCACCAATCCTATGGGAAAAGTTTTTTTTACATTCCAATACATTGTCATATTTTTTAAAGAATGCTATACTATAAGGTGATGCAATTTCTACATTTTTTTCTGGAGGGTTCCAAATTTCTCCCAATAAATAAGGCGGCAGCTTTCCCAGCAGAGAGGGATATTTTTGCTAATTTTCCTACACAAGAAATATTAATAGGATTTTTTAAAAATTGAACTCTTTGTGTGTATTCATTGTAATTTTTTATTTTATCTTTTGAGAATTGTACTTTTTCTCTTGCTGTGCTGTAAGTTAATATAGTTTTTTTATAGTCTATTTGATTTTGTTTTCTTTGTAAGAATTTAATAGAATAGTTAAATTGAATATTGTTAATATCACTAGCTTTGGTATTATTTTTCTTTGCATACTTGTTTTCAGTCCTTTGTTACATAATGTTTCAACACATTAGCCACATCCTAAAACAGATTAAATTTGCAAAAACCACATAAAGGTATGTAATATTGGTCAAGGAATGAAGTGTTTCAATTACATTCTTGTTAAAACTTTATCATTTGTCCGTATGGACAACCATAGTCTGTTCATTGTAGCTCAAGCTTACATCTCTAAATACCAGTTCAACTTTCCTACCTGACGCAATAATGGGGATAGTCTGTGTGTCAAACACATCTCCACTAACATAGCCCAGGTGCCTACACATGACCATTGCATCTTTGGAGTCCCAGAATCTGTCACAGACTGTTCCCCATGCACCGTTTATTTTGACCTCCACACGGCCAGAATGAGGCTGTTCAGTTCCTGCTATCCTGAATTCAATCTCTGTCAGAGGTAAATTATGATCCATTAATAAAATGTGTTTTTTTCCTTTGACATTATATGTATATTAGATTAAACACCCCCCCCCCCCCAACCCTCCCTATTTCATTTCTTGCCCCCGCTTTTTTTTGCTTCTTCAGCTCTGTGTTTTGGTTAACTCATCTAATGATCTTTAATTGTTTTGGTTAACTCATCTAATGATCTTTAATTGTTTTGGTTAACTCATCTAATGATCTTTAATTGTTTTGGTTAACTCATCTAATGATCTTTAATTGTTTTGGTTAACTCATCTAATGATCTTTAATTGTTTTGGTTAACTCATCTAATGATCTTTAATTGTTTTGGTTAACTCATCTAATGATCTTTAATTGTTTTGGTTAACTCATCTAATGATCTTTAATTGTTTTGGTTAACTCATCTAATGATCTTTAATTGTTTTGGTTAACTCATCTAATGATCTTTAATTGTTTTGGTTAACTCATCTAATGATCTTTAATTGTTTTGGTTAACTCATCTAATGATCTTTAATTGTTTTGGTTAACTCATCTAATGATCTTTAATTGTTTTGGTTAACTCATCTAATGATCTTTAATTGTTTTGGTTAACTCATCTAATGATCTTTAATTGTTTTGGTTAACTCATCTAATGATCTTTAATTGTTTTGGTTAACTCATCTAATGATCTTTAATTGTTTTGGTTAACTCATCTAATGATCTTTAATTGTTTTGGTTAACTCATCTAATGATCTTTAATTAATTGATTAATATTGTGACAATAAATTTAGCTTCTACTTACCATTTCCCTCTGTGCATAATACACCAGCAAAATGACCCAAGGAGCAAGCAGTGACATTTCCAAGACCTGAATGTTTACAATCCCTCAAGTGATGTTCCGTCCCAATGCACTCAATCTTTCATTTTTAAAAAGGGAAATTTTAGAAGAAAAGAAATAGAATAACAATAATACCCCTTTAAAGCTTATTAAAAATTGGAGCCAGTCATTATAAAATATCTTAATTGTTCTATGTGTAGCAGTTTATTGAGATAGCTGAGCTATCTTACCACATCTTTACTACACACAAAATGTTCTACATAAACACAGAATCTGAACCAAATACTGTATATCCCTAAATATCTTATTCTATGGAAATCAAAAGTACCTCAAAAAAAAAATGTAATTATCATTATACTTTCTCCCTTCGTTCGAATCAAACAAAAATCTGGATTCAGTTACTTTGGATATCCAGAATGGTCCAGAATGATCGGCTAAAGAGAAGGAGGGTCTGTAGTGTGTGTAAGCTATTCCATCAGAGAAGCCCAGCTCCCTGCAGGCCACATTTGCAGAGACATCGTTCCATGCATCGTTACACACAGAGCCAGGTGTGTCGAGGTAAATCACCTGTAACAGGCCAGTGTTTGGTCTGGAGCTGGAACCCTTCAAAGCTATTTCAAAATCTGCAAGAAATTTCTTAAAAAAGTTAACTTTTATTCATTATGGATGTTAGTATAAAACCATGTAATTTTTAACAAACTTATCTTCATTTTACATAGTTCATTGTACATGCTATTATGAGGATAGGTATAACATTCATTAAAAAATCCTTGGACTATAACAAATAATGTTGATGACAAATTTTTTGACAAACTTTGTCAGGCACTGCAGGCAAGAACAAACTAAATATTCAGCTAAATTGAACACAAAATATGGAAAGAGTTAAATGTTTGCTAAGCTCACCACTAGGCTTTGTTCCATTATAGCATGTTAGACCAACATAGTCCTGACGACTACTACAAAAGTATGGCGAGTAGACTTGAGCCGGTACATAGCTGCAATCAAACAGAGACTTTTCTTGGCCACTGCACTTGAAGTTCTTAAAATAAATATCCAAATAGTTGTAGCCAAAAGGCAGGCAGCAGTGAGGCACGCCATGGTCATAGCCTAACATTCTACAAGCCACATCTGGAAAATAAGTTTAGACAAAGTTTGAAAATGGACATTTTAACTTTTAGAATGATGGCCTTAATAATTTTGTATCTAGGTCCAAAACTATTATTGCTGTTGCAAACACAAAAGTTAAAAAAAATTTTTTTAAAACATGAGCGACTGATATAATGATTCTTAAATCTTTCAATTATTTGTTAGTACGTAAATACTGATTTACAAATTGTTATAATTGTGATTTCATGAAAATGACTTAGAATTAAAAGATGAACACATTATTTAATTTCTACGTTGTAACATTTAACTTCAGTAATAATAATTTTATTTATCCTTGAATTTTAACTACTGCATTCGACACAGTAGTAATTAAACATGCTTTACATGTAAGTGCAGAAATAATTTTATCATAAAAGCAATACCTGTTTCATTTTGTCCAAAACCTTCACTGCAGATTGCACCGAAATCATGGAGCTTGGAATTATAAAGTGATAAAATTCCTGCAGCTTCTGTTGGACCCTCTTTCAGTTCAACTATAGAATAAAATATTTGAAGAAGTATTACATTTCAACTGTTGATCAATTTGGATGTGGATCAAAATTCTACTAAATAGTCAAAATGTTATATATAAAATATGAAATATAAAATAGATATATATATATCTATGAGTCCATGAAAACAAGACATGTAAAGTGGGTGTCAGAATTAGAAATGCATTACAGATTTTGTGTGCACCATGGTTCCCATTCCTTTAAAACAGGCCTCAATGGGAAATGGAACCAATAAGTAGACCTTATTATTATGGCTGTATGGATCTCAATCAGAATAAATTTTTTTTAAAATCTTTACAAATGAACTTCAAAAGAGCTCCTACATCAAGTTCTGTTAATTAAGATTACTGAAACATCTGCCAATGGAGAATATGCTGCCAATGGAGAATATGATATGTTTTTGAGGACACACCAAGACAATCAGATTAATAACAGGACTTAGTTGTTAAGCCTAGATATATATCCAGAAGCCTCTAATCCTACACTCCTCTATTTACCAGTTAAAATGCAAACAAAACATGACGGGTTAACTAATCCCCTGACAGATCTACAAAATATTCTTGTTATAATTGTTGTCTTTGTCCATCTTAATACTTTGTATCAAGTAGGTACAGGTGCCTTACTCTGAAACATTTATTTTAAAAAATTAAATAAAATCCTATATATGTAATATATTTGTGTTTAATTTAATATTTCAAACATTAAAGTGGCTCTTATTGTGTTGAAGGTATTTCAGTTAATGATTTTTTTTTTAAAAATCTCTATTAAAATGCGCCTACCATTTAGATAACAAATGAAATGTGCTTGGCTGCTACTGATACTAGTCTGGTTAGGGAGGAACTCTGCCCTACATTCCAATATTGTTTGCTCATCTCCTAGACAACTAACAGACTTCATGAGTACAGTGTTTACGGGTGCAGATCCCCACAGTGTGGAATAGACTTCTCCATATGCATAGTGCTCTTTGCTGATACTACGACAAAAGACTGAAGCTTCTTTAGGTCCTAATCCCGTATAATCAATAGACATGGGTCTCTCGTCAATGACAATTTCCCCTTTTCCTGAATTAGGAGCTCCATCTGGGATGATCTTGAATGTAATGGGACCTGCAACAATCATAGGAAAAATAATAAAATATGGAATTTCCTGCTATATATTTTTAAGTTATAATGATCCTTGGAAAGTTGATTCACATTTCGTCAAAATTTACTTAATGTTAAGTAAAAGTATGGCCCTATTTAAAATGGACTGTCATTTTCTTTTAAATAATATAGTAATGCTTGGTATGAATGCTAAAAATCAAAGATCACTCATACAATTTAAAGCCTATTATATCATCATACTTGTGGTTCTTTGACACAAAATGTGTGCAGACTCCATGCTTGAACAAGATCCTGCTTCTGAGAAACTGGGAAATGTACAGTTTCTGATGCTCCTCTCTGTCCCCAGGCACTTAAGTCCCTTCAGCAAGACTAGATTGGTCCCCGACAAGGCCACAGGATGAAGAAGGTGACCTCCTAAGAAGCCCATTTCTCGACACATCACAAGAGCTTCTGAATGTGTCAGATTTTCAGCACAGATGCTGCCCTCTATGCCAAACCTTTTAACCACTGGAACCGCAGCAAAACTTGACATCGTTTCCAGTCTTAAATCTAAATCATGGGTTGGAAAAAATAGAGAAGTTTAGTCTTGAGGGAATACTTTCATAAAAATGTCATTTAACAAAAAAAGAAAAGTAGAAATAAAAATAAAATAGTTCACTAATTTACATTTACATCAAATATGTTAACAAATTGGTATCTCATGATAATGACATCAATGTTAGTGCCAGGTAGCAGATATGTTAACAAATTGGTATCTCATGATAATGACATCAATGTTAGTGCCAGGCAGCAGATATGTTAACAAATTGGTATCTCATGATAATGACATCAATGTTAGTGCCAGGCAGCAGATATGTTAACAAATTGGTATCTCATGATAATGACATCAATGTTAGTGCCAGGCAGCAGAGCCACAAACTATGTAATGGTTTTTGCAGGCAGCTACAAAGCTATCCTCTCAAAGTTGTTGCATAAAACGCCTGACCCAATGTGGCGACACCCTGGGCAGTCACCTATTAATCTGCCATACACGGTTTAGGAAGGGGGAGGCGGGCTTTACTGGGCTGCACCTTTTTTATTATTATTAGGAGGGGCAGCATTTCCAGCTAATTGCAGAGTTTTTTGTCACGGTTGGCAGCAAAATTTTAGGCCCAGCCCAAGCAGCACAAACCCTAGCTACACCAACCATAGCTACGTCCCCTGCCGGCCACATCAGGTAATCTAAATGTTGGGGTAAGAGAGGACTTGGTAACCGATAGGCTGTCTATGTTTACACCAGCAAACAAACATATATATATATATATTGGCCAACAGTAAAATAACCATTCTAAATAAGAAGGCATTTAGCTGAAACATCCTTATGGTTCTCCTGTCTTTTTTTTAAACCCTAAACATCAATTGTTCCACTATTTATTTGCTTTGAAAGGCTTGAATGCAGGCCCTCATATATTAAACATTATCAAATAGCCTTCAGAACAAGTAAGGCTTGTTTATGAGCAACAGGAAAGTGCAGAGTGTGGTATCCATCTGTACTTGAGTGTGAAATAATAGGGAATTGTTCTTGAGTGCATAAGGGCAGAACCAAATGATTTCCTACGAATCTGTCACTTCTTGAAAAAATATAGGAAGTTGACATTCTTATCAAAGACCTAGCGTGACTGTAATCAAAGACCTAGCGTGACTGTAATCAAAGACCTAGCGTGACTGTAATCAAAGACCTAGCGTGACTGTAATCAAAGACCTAGCGTGACTGTAATCAAGGACCCTTATTTTTTCATTTCACATGGTTCTCACCTTCATTTGGAAATGCTGAATTACTGCAGTGGATGTAGGAATAGTGCCCACTTCTACAAACACCATCTCTCACAATGGTGCAACTGTTCACATCCGCCTCTGATCCCTGGCAGGTCACTGAAGTTACAAAGTCTCTTGTATCCCCTATAGGTCCAGCTGCACTGCAACATTGCTGCTTGCCGAATTGGAAGCCCATGGTCTTGCAGACAACCTTTGCCTCTGTGTCAGTGATACCAGTGTCACAAACATACTGCCACAGACCCGTTGCTTTGTTCAGAATCTGGAGCTGTCCTCTGTATTCATCTCCTGGAGGTCCATTTATGAGTTTTGCTAGGGGAATTTAACACATCACAGATAAAAATGCCACAAACCAAATAGGATAAAAAGGAAGGTGCGGTCTATTTTCAGATTGCCAAATTGTGATGATATTTATATCAAAGCTTATAACTGACCTACTGTGTAATTAAATGGAAATAATTTTGTATGCTGACCATCGAGAAAGCATTCTACAGCCATGTCATTCAAGTGGCTCTCACAGTCCGCAAGTTTGTGGGAGAGTCTTGTAAGCTGGCACTCCTTCAAGGCATTCTCTGCACCAGTGCAGTAGATCCCATGAATCCAAACTGGGCCTGGACTGGAGCTAAATTCACCTGGGGCCAATAGTCGGCCATCTCTGTCAAATGGTTGTAAATTCATCAATAGTTAAAAAAATAATTTAATACACTTCCATCCTTCAATTGAAAATTGTGAGAGAAAAAAGTTGTTTTTCTTAACTAGGGATTTGTAATTTCAAGATTTAAACAAAAATTACAAAAAAGTATTTCCTGAAACCATTTTAAAGCATCTTTTTTTTTTTAATTTTAAACTTTATTAAAAAAAATAATGATTAACTTACTTGTATCCCAACTGTTTGCAGACCACTGTAGCAATAGCAACACTGGGTACAACCAATTGATGAGTTTGAGAACAAACTGATCCCCAAACTCCATCAATTTTTATCTCAAGCCTCCCAATATTCTTTCCACTACCGTTGACCAGCTGTATGGGCAGATAGTCATCACCTGTATGGAATATTCATTTTGAATGCTATTAAAAAGTCTGCTCTACAATTCATTTATGATTCTTTATGAAACTTAAACTGATTAAGATTAAGATAATGTTTACCCATGATGAACAGAATTGTAAAATCTTTACGATTTGGTGGGAGAAGTGTCCAACTTACCATCCTCTTCAAGGCAGTAAACACTTGGGGCCATGTGACATTGGTTAGTTTTACCAAGTGAAAAATTTGGACAATATTCAATGTTGGCCTCATCACCACGACATTCCATGCTTGATGTCCATTGCATGGTTGCATTCAGTTCATTGGTAATAAAGGCCAATCCTTTTCTGTAGCCAGCCTGGCGACAGATCACATTGGCCAGATTTTTGTTGACATTGTTGTGACACAGAACACCTTCAGTGTTGAAGTAGTTGATGAAGGCCCGACCACTGTTTTTAAACTCTAAAGACAGTGTATATTTTTCTGGAAGTGAAAAAATATTGTTCTTTTGATAATTAATAAAGTTTTAAGTTATACAATTTCACAGATTAAAAAAAATAATGACACTTGATAAAATTATATGATAATAATGTGAAGACAAGAAGAATTTCATCTTTCTTATTTCTTATAACCAGTGGCGTAGTGAGATACTAGAATTCATTTTGGCGCATACCTGAATTTAGTTTTGCATCTATCTGCACTTAATCTAAGATGGTCAGAGAAATGCTATGATTTTTAAAAAAATTATTACTAAAAAGTAATGTTGTTTTATATTTATTTAAACTATTGTAAAACTATTTAATTTGTTTAAACTACTTCATAAGTAAATTAATTTGTTTTAAAGGTGCTGATGCAACATACCGGCATGTGAGAGGCATGTTTTGGTCTTAACCTTCTGTTTCATAATGTGTCTTTGTTTGTTAACTTGCCATTTCTTACAATAACATAAAATGTTTCCTGTTCTGAACATTGAGCTACATTTACATTATTGAGAGCTTCTAAAGCATAACGTTTTATTTTTGTTTTACATTCCTCTGTTGCTTATTATTGCATTGTCTGCTGAATAAGGCATCTTGCTAAAACTTCAGTTTAATTTTCCTCTCTTTTTTTCAAGACTAAACATATCTTGTACATAAATATATTTACTTCACGCGGCTCGAATACAGTCCCCCATATATATTATCTTTTGGTTAACTTAAAATAAGTGGTATAAAATCAAATCATTGAAATTATAATTAAAATGTTATAGAGATTTATTGAACTTGGACTAATAATAAACTGTAGGCTACTTACAATTATAATATGCATAAATTCACAATGGCTGCATTTAAATTTAATTTTAATTTAAAAGCTACTTCTCCTGGGTCCTAACTTTTGAATGCCAAGGTATTTTCAAGCATACTTTTTGTATTCTTTATCAAGTTAGGCCTAAATTATTCCAGCTGTCACATACGACTACACTATTCCAGGTGTCACATAGGACTACATTATTCCAGCTGTCACATAAGACTATACTATTCCAGCTGTCACATACGACTACACTATTCCAGGTGTCACATAGGACTACATTATTCCAGCTGTCACATAAGACTACACTATTCCAGGTGTCACATACGACTACACTATTCCAGGTGTCACATAGGACTACATTATTCCAGCTGTCACATAAGACTACATTATTCAAGCTGTCACATAGGACTGCAGTGAGCTTGTTATTTCAAGTCACTCCACATCATCCAAAGAAAATAGTTCTCAAATTCGGCCCTTTGATGACTATGGCCTAGTTGACGGCTTGTTTTTTTTAGACTATGCGCCTGTTTTTAATCTAATTAAAATTTCTAATTAACTGGGTCAGCAAATTAGATTTCCTATTACATAACAATTAGTATTTGATCATAAATTTAAAATAAACTTATATCTTGTGTCTTTTGCACCAAAATGCCACCCAACTCAGTAGATTAAAAAAAAGTGCCACCAGGGATGGACTGACCCCCTCAAGCCACCGCTCCATTCCTATGCCACTGCTTGTAACTTCTGAACAATCAAGTATTTTGTAAAAAACTATAAATAGCTTATGAAGATAATTGATGAAGAGATTTTTCATTTTAAAAATTTTCAGAATTCATATCTGTTTTAGATCGGTAAATTATCTTTTTAAACAAAATTCTAACCTGATTCTGGTGTTAGTGAGCAAAGAGCTGATGCATAATGCTGTGAAGTGCACGATGACCACGGAGTGAGTGAAGAATGTGCACAATCTAACAAAGACTTTTCTGAACCTATACAGTGGAGCTCGCTGACGCCTATTTCCTACAACAAAACATTTGGAGAAAATTCAAACATTTCTAAATATTTAATAATTTTTCCACAAACGCAATAACTATTTTTACAATAGAGATGTATCACTGAAACACATAAGCACGTGCTCTTAAGACAGGCCATGTTCCAACTTACCAAAAAAGGAACTGGGTATGCTGAACAGCAGGCTGATATTCCTCCACTATATCCAATAGCTCTGCAGAAAACAGAAGCGTCTACATCTGTAAAATTTTCTGAGCATATCAGCTTGTATTCACCATTCATGTAGACTGAAACAGCCCCAAAATGACTTTCTGGATATGGGTAGAATCTTTCTGAAATACAGTTTACACAAATTCTGTAGTTAATTGAGTTGCTGCAGTTTAAAAGCACAACTTTAAAATTTACAAACTTTGTATTATTTCTTGCATAAATATCTACATAAATGAATACAATATTTATTGTCTGTTCAATCAGGTTGATTTAATTTAGGTTCAGCAAATTACTATTGCGGCTTTCGACGATATTCCTTTAAAATGTTTATTACCTTTAGTATAACAAGCGATCTCCATGTCATCAGCATGTGTGCATCCTGCGACTTCCAGCCAACCAGAATTGGGACAACCCAAAAAAAGTTGATCACTGTGGTCACAAGAAACATTTTTTAAATAAATGGGACCAGTGGCATTCCCATATCTCTTGGGCTGCCTGGGTAGGATTGTTCCGTCTATAAAACCTAGCTCTTTACACAACGTCCGTGCATTGAGCCAATCTCCATCCCGGCTACAAACTGTGCCCCATACGTTGTTGTACTTGATTTCCACACGACCCGCAAACATAGCTTGACGATTCACATCCATAAGACGAAATCCAAATGAATCTATGGAAATAAATATGTATTCAGATTGAATTTTTAAAAAAAAGAATGATAAATAAAAAAAATTTAATATTATAATAATATTTTAAAATATAAAAATCTCTACCTGTTTTAAGTGACAGTCCCTTATAACTTTTAATAAACTAATTTACAAATTTAAAGGTGGACATCCCCTCCTGATACAACTCTAATCAAATCCCGACATCATCCCTGAAACCCATCACAGACATGTTTACGCTTACGATTTTGGCGTACAATGTACGATTTTGAGGTGTATACATTATATATACTGTATGTTTATTTTTTTACTATTAAGATAATTTATTGAACGATTTTGTGATGAAATTTTACGATTTTAAAAGTTTGAGGGTAAACAGGTCTGCCATCATGACAAAACTCTGAATCCTTCCTGACACAACTCTTGACACCCCACCTGACACCATTCTTGACAGGCCACCTGACACCATCATAACACACTACTGACACTGTTCTTGACACCCATCCCTGACACCACATTCAAAACCCCACTGCCACCACTCTCAACACTCCAGTGAATAAACCTTCAAGTCCTATTGTTTCATATAAAATACTAAAAGGGAAAACAACTGACTCACCTGTATTATTCATGCACAGAACTCCAGCTGAGTATGTCTTTCCGAAACACTCCCTAGAAACATTTTTTTGTAACACACACTGGTAGACTCCTGTATCCAGTGATGTGCAAGTGGGCTTTCCAAACCACAAGAGCTCTTTTTCAGCCCCTGTAAATTGAGCTGAACCAAGGATTTTTCCAGAGGTCCAGCCCTTACTTCTGCAAATATTGGAGGCATCTGAATCTTGGAAATTAATCGGACAAATCACTCCAGTGTACATATCCCGAACATTTGTAGATAACTGCCCAACAGCTTGACCTTTAATCGTCCAGGATCTTAGTTCTGGTAGAGAAAAATAAAAAGAGAAACTCTTATAATATGATAAAAACTTAACAGAAAATATTTTATTATCAAGGTTTAAGATCTTTGACAGAAAAACCAAAAATGGTACAGGCAAACCACATATGGAAGGAAATGCACTAAAGTATGCTTTATATTCTACAAAAGGTTTAAAATTCCTAAACTCTGACATAGGAGTAAGTTGCTGATGAAAACACTTACCATTTGCTGGATCCGAGTAGCACAGCAGTCGAACTTGGCCTTGACCACAAAATCCTATAGAATACCGACACTGAGAAAGGCTTTTCTCTCCTCCTTGACATGAGAAAAGCTTTATGAAAGTGAACTGGCTAAAAAAATCCACTGTTGCTGGCTTGAGGACGGCTGCATGCTGATAACCAAGTTCTGTGCATACCATTTCTGCCTTCATGAAATCAAATGTGCTATCAAAGCACACTTCATATCTTCGTGTGTTTCTCATTATGCTTAGTCTTCCAGCTATAGAATCGCCAGAGTAGGTTTCATTTGTTAAGACAACTGGGGGGGAAAAAAAAAAAAATAGTGAATTTTTTTAGAATTTTTGTATCACTTTAAATATAAGAAGAATAAATAAATGAGGAAAACTATTTAAATCATTTTAAAATATTATAGTCTCATTGACCAGAAAGCTATTCATTTAGTTCTTGTTGATGTATCTGCTTAGTTGCTTGTTGAGTAGTACTTCCACTCCATCAGCTGCACTTCTTGTTAACGAATCACCGAGTTTGATTGGCTTGTATTGCTTTAAAAATGCCATTTCTTAAACCTGCACCATATGCCTAAGCAGCACCTTTTAAAATGTATTTCTATAGTTCTCACGATGTTATATTTGTCACATCCATTCTCACATACAATTTTTAATTTCCACAAAATGCTGAGTCTCGAGTATTCTTCATTTAAAAGGAACTTTTTTCATTCACTCTTTCCCAACTTGACAGAAAATACATTTTAATAAAAAAACAAAACAATTATCCTCAGGTAAAGTAAAACTGAGAATTAACTTTACAGTTGACTTCATTAACTATTGGTAACATAACATTAAGTCAGTGATGAGTCATTAAGTCAGTGATGAGTCATTAAGTCAGTGATGAGTCGTTAAGTCAGTGATGAGCCGTTAAGTCAGTGATGAGTCATTAAGTCAGTGATGAGTCGTTAAGTCAGTGATGAGTCGTTAAGTCAGTGATGAGCCGTTAAGTCAGTGATGAGCCATTAAGTCAGTGATGAGCCGTTTAGTCAGTGATGAGTCATTAAGTCAGTGATGAGTCGTTAAGTCAGTGATGAGTCGTTAAGTCAGTGATGAGCCGTTAAGTCAGTGATGAGTCGTTAAGTCAGTGATGAGTCGTTAAATCAGTGATGAGTCGTTAAGTCAGTGATGAGTCGTTAAGTCAGTGATGAGCCGTTAAGTCAGTGATGAGTCGTTAAGTCAGTGATGAGTCGTTAAATCAGTGATGAGTCGTTAAGTCAGTGATGAGTCGTTAAGTCAGTGATGAGTCGTTAAGTCAGTGATGAGCCGTTAAGTCAGTGATGAGTTAATGGTTACCATTTTGATAACAGATGACACCAGCCTCCTTTGTACTACTCTGGCAGGCTGCACTGCTGGTGCTCTTCCATCCATCGTTCAAGCACTGAAAGAGGCTGGTCTCACTTCCTGTGCATCGTACTCCGGACATGAAATAGTTCAGACCACTTCTATCATACCTGGAAGGAATAAAAATTAAAAAGGCGAGCGAAAATTACTTTTCAAGAATATAAGACATGAATTTTTTTTTAAAAATTATTTTTCTGAAAATAATAATTTACACAAAGAAAAGTGGCATTTTAGAAATTATAATTGGGTCAAAGAACTCAAAAATTCCATTTTTGTTTACAGTAAGCTGACATACACTTTGGCAATGCCTGTCACAAAACTGGGGTTGATCATCTTGCATGCTACTTGGGCATCGTCGTCATCCCAGTTTTCACCACAGATGGCCCCAAACTCAAGGTTGATTCTGAGTTGAAGTCTTCCAGAGTGGATTTGTGCGGAATCTGCATTTAGTCCGAGTTCAGGAGCTGTAACAATGACAACAATAACCGTGTTCAATATTGGATAGGAAACAGATCAAGCAGTTTTATTATAGTAAATTCTATTAAATTTTATAAATAGGCATTTTGATAAATAAGTGAATAATACCATAAAAAATGAAATTTGAAAAACTTATTTATAGGACATGAAAATTACTTTTTTGTTGTTTTTGTTTTCAAATCCAAGAAAATGTATGAATCGTTTACTCTACCTTTAGAGTGGAAACACACAACTGACGCGGCTCTTCTTGAGAGGCACAAAAAACTGTTGTCACTTTTGCAATCTTTTAAAAATCTTTCAGCAACAGTACAGTTAGGTTGTTTCATAAAATAAGGGCCGAGGACCGACTCGGTGGCCGTAAACTTGGTGCCGTTCTCAAAGTTTAACCCTGTTGACCTTCCAACTTCCAAACAAAACACCCGAGCATCCTCATTGGTAAAAGCCTCATCACATGCGTATCCCCATGTGTTGTGCTGGAGAACTTTAACCAAACCTGATGAGTTTTCTCCATGACTGTTTTCCAATTTGTAAATCTCTGAAATTTAAGAAAGTTTGGACCAAGAGATGACCAAATATTTAATAATATATTGTTTTAAATTGTCACAACCTTTTTAAAAGCATTCTGACTTATGAAATATATCATCAGTCTGAGAAAAATGTCAACTAATAAAAGCATAACTATTTCATTGAGAAACTTCTAGTTCAATCGATTTAACTGTAGCATGACAATTTCATTAATAAACATTTTGTTCCATAGAAACTAAGTATTTGATTGTAAATTTGTCATATAATAATCTTATTACCTATCAGTACTATCATTTTTTATCTTAAAACTTTGTTTAGTAGCAGTTAATAGTTTTTATTTAAGTTGTTCTCTTACCTTGAGAGAGAGAACTTGATGAGTTCAAACATGCAACAGAGACATAAGTACTAAAGGAATTGCAGCCAATTAAATTGCTTTCATAGGGGCAGTCCAGAATAGATGTCTCAGTGCCAACACATTTAACATGGGATCTGACAGGACTAGAATCATACGGTCCAAATGGAGCATTGGGCAGCACTGTTCCATTTGTGAATCCAAGCTCCTGGCAAGCAACAGAGGCACTTGTATTGCTGAACTCTGTGTTGCATATGGTTTGCCATCGATTTGATGCACGATTGAAGATTTGTAAAACTCCTGCATTGTTTGAGCCCGGCTCGAGTTTAACTGAAGCAAAAGATAAAAATCAGAGATGCTTGTTAAGTAATGAAAAATAAGTCTGTCTCATTTAAAATTTCTATTCATCAACTCTAAAAATAATAGATCTACCTTAGTTCAATAGAAAAACATTAAAGCTCACCATTCTTATAACATTGCACACCAGCTGATCCAGTCATACACTCAGCTGCTGGTATTCCCCATCTGTTTCTTAAGCATTCAAAGAAATTATCATTTGCAGTCCCACAGTTCACATCACCAATCGCAATGCTGAAAAAAAATGTAATAAACGTATACGTATAATGTTAAGCCAGGCATACAACATGTGGCAGTGTGCCCCAACTAATTATCTATATTATCTTTCAAGTAAATTTGAATACCTCTAATATATCTAGTCAAGTAAAAATATCACTTTCCCACAGTCTTGGACTATCCAACACAACCAAAACATAAACAATCATGGAATGTAGGTCAAGTAACTTTTAGCTCCCCTTATTATACTGGGATATGATGAAAGAAAAAATACTGACTATTGTGCTTTGTGTATAAGTTCAAACATTAATTTCTCTGGAGCCCTAGTAAATTATGCTATATATCAAATCTTACCGAAAGGGGATCTTATTATCTATACCAAGGTATAATCACATGTCTTTATCTTTTAGAGGATATTTTGATATTAAGCAGTTATGAGTGTTTTCACATTCATCCACTGGGGCCCAAAGCCATTCTCAAAGACCATTTAATGCATATAAATATAAATGTATCTTAAATAGCTGAGGCTGAACGTGAACAAGCACATTTAAGTCTTCAGGGTTCTGATCCAGCATTTTGACTTTCCATGGATTTTCAACTTCCTCACTGTCAGCCTGTCAGAAGTCAAATGATGGACAGGCTTGGTACATGGCGACCCCATTTCTAAGGAGCGTGTTGAAGGGTTATTCATTCATGAATGGCTTAGGAAGCCATCTGAACACACCAACCTCCTCATGCTATTCTCTGGCCACATCTGGACAATCTGTACTGTAAACTAGGCTATGAACCTTTTTATACCCATGTGTTTGTAGAATGGAATATATCCGTTCATTACTTATATTATGCAGTGTCTTGCTAAAGAATTCTTTTGCTGCCCTCTCAGATACTACTTCTCAGCTAAATGTTATTTAAAAAAAAATGTTCTGTTTTTTTCTGTTGTTTGTTTGCTGACAAAGGCTTTCTGCCTATACTTTCGTTGTTTTGTTGCATTCCTTTTTTTCAGGTTTGACCTTACTTTGTTTTACTCAGTTCCTAATTGGATAATGCTAACGACTGTATCAATGTAGTTAGCCATATTGCAATGCATTTTTGTCTTAAAGAGACACAGCGATTGAAACAAAAATATCACACTAACAGTCACTTAATAACATTTCAGTAGCTGTCCTGTCATGTGTGCATCTGAAATAGACAGCACAAATGGGTCAAGTACAATAGTCATTTCTAGACCTGTATGTTAGCCCTCAAATGTTACACTGATTCTGAATGTAAGACGGTGTACGTGCCACTAGCTAAGCCCTGCCACATGATTTCTTCTATCATTAAACATTATTACAAGAAATAGTTTCAACAGCCATTTGTATAAAAGGTTGATATAGTATAGCCTATGTTTTGACCTAATTTTTTTTCTTCAATGCAGAGCTAAAGCATTCCTCCACCTCTCTCCCCCTTTTTGTTTTGATATTGACATCACAGACAAAATGTGATTGGGAAAGGTTTTTTTACGTTCTTTTTGAGCTAAAGAATGCTATCAGGAGAAGTAATTTCAAGAATTTCTTTTCTGGCTGGTTCTTACTCCCTCCCTATAAATAAGCTGGCAGCTTGGGAGGGGGAGAGATTTTTTGCTATTTTCCCCAGACATTTACAAGACATAAAATACGTACAAGATTGTACTCTTTATGTGTGAGCGTGTAAATTAATATTTTTATCTTTATCACTGGCTTTCCTGTAAGTTGATATACTTTTGATTTCTATCTCTTTTATTTTGTATTTGTATATACACCCAATAGTACAATTAAATTGAATACTGTTGGAATCACTAACTTTGGTGTCATTTTTTCTTTGTATACTGGTTTTCAGTCTTTTTTACATATTGTCAATACACGTGCCAATCTTAAAAGAGATTAAATTTGCAAAACCATGTAATGGTACAAAACACAGGTACTATATGGTCATCATGCATTAATTAAGTGTGTTTGCTATGATTTGTAACTGCAGAGTTATTCAACCTGTTTTTGTTAATCTGAACAATGCCTTGTGATATAACCTGTACTATTTTTATCTTTTCAAATACCGTCCTTTTTGCTTCAGACTTTTTCTTCAACTTCTTCTTTTTCTTGGTTTCTGTGTTGAAATAAAAAGCTACAGTTCCCAAAACCTCATTTCCTGCCGCCTCTTTACCACTTGGCTACATTTATATACATGCAATATAGCATTAGAAATTAATACCCATTAATTTTTCTCAAAGTTGAGAACATTTTTAGCCAACCTTGTTGTTGTTGTTGTTGTTGGTGTCAATTCAGGAGACCAAGATTTTCCACCAGTAAAATTAAGTTGGCTGCATGCTGCGTTGGCTTCCTTATCTGTCCACTTGTCCCCACATATGGCGAACGTGCTGTCATCAAGTTTAACATGTAGAACTCCAGTTTGGCTGTTGGGAGGTTCCAGGCTTAGCTGAAGATCTGAGATAAATTATTCCAAAGTAAAGTCAAAAGTGTTATTTTTAAATTATTGTTTCAAGTAGTTCATACAGCAAATATTATTTAAACTCAACTTCCAAATTCTTTTCCTAATGAATGATAGAGAACTTAGTTCATATAGCAAATATTCTTTAATCTCAACTTCCAAATTCTTTTCCTAATGAATGATAGAGAACTTAGTTCATATAGCAAATATTCTTTAATCTAAACGTCCAAATTCTTTTCCTAATGAAAGATAGAGAACTTAGTTCATATAGCAAATATTCTTTAATCTCAACTTCCAAATTCTTTTCCAAATGAATAATAGAGAACTTAATTCATATAGCAAATATTCTTTAATCTCAACGTCCAAATTCTTTTCCTAATGAATGATAGAGAACTTAGTTCATATAGCAAATATTCTTTAATCTCAACTTCCAAATTCTTTTCCTAATTAATGATAGAGAACTTAGTTCATATAGCAAATATTCTTTAATCTCAACTTCCAAATTCTTTTCCTAATGAATGATAGAGAACTTAGTTCATATAGCAAATATTCTTTAATCTCAACTTCCAAATTCTCTTCCTAATGAATGTTAGAGAACTTAGTTCATATAGCAAATATTCTTTAATCTCAACTTCCAAATCTTTTCTTAATGAAGGATAGAGAAGTGTGCAGATTTCATTTCACCTTTTCGAAAGCATGCAATTCGCACCGGTGTCAAACAGGCAAACAATCCTGGACTGCCCCATTCTGGAAGTAGGCATTGTCCTATAGTACTTTCATTTCCCTGACAGCTTAAGCCCCTGAGCCAGACATGGTAGTCTTCCCCATCCAGAGCCACTGAACCTATCCTGTCACATAAACAAAAAAATAAGAAAATAAAAGTTTAATAATGAATTAAGCATTTTTTAAAAATCTGGTCAACATGTGAAAAATCTTCCTATTTGCTGACTGTAAAAAAGTTGTAGACATTTTAAGTGTGACCATTTACAGTCTGAGTAATAACCCCATTAATAAAGAATTGGAAGAGATCCAAAATACTAAATAAAACCACAGATCCTACTCCAAAAAGAGTGTAAAATTAAAATTTCTTTAAAAAATGTTTCGTGGTCATTTAATTGACACAGTCATTGATACTTAACTGTAATAGGCTCTTCATGAAATATTTTAATTTATTAATTACACTTCAAGTAATTGAAAAAAACAATCGAATGTCAATATCAATGAATTAGTATCAATGTATTAAATGTTAAAAAGGAAAATGTATTTCCTCTTTCATATAGATAGATCATGATTTTGCAATAAGTCTATCCCACCCACAACAAAAGTTTTCCCCTCCTCTATATCCCTTCCACAACAAACACTTTCCCACCAGTAAATCTCATCAAAAACTAACCATTTTCTACTAGTGCATCCCATCAACAAACCTTTTTCCACCAGCATATCCCATCATCTTGCACACGACAGTCACTTCTCTATCAGATAAAGCCGGATGATTAAATATACTGTGGTCCTCACACACTCGACCCCAGACTCCCAAGTGCTGAACTTCGAGGAATCCTACATCTTGCGAAGTGCCTGGTTCACTGCTAATGCGCACAGAATCCGCTAAAATACACATCAAAAAGTTCAAACTTTTACAATCTCAGCTGTATTCTTTAAAGTGGATGCGGAAATATTTCTAATTAAAATTTAAAATATAAATTGAAACTTTTCTCAAACTGAACAATAAAAAATACTTACTCATGTTGATCCCGGAAATGGATTGGTTGTAGCAGATGACAGATGCAAGATCTATGAAAGAATTGTGAAAAGGGCAAATGTCCGTTTTATTCATTGGACACTGTGACAGTGTTGTCTCTGTGCCGGTACAGGAGACATTTGTGTAAGATCCTACCACAGTGAAACTGCCATAGCTGGAGGCACCCAAACTGTTTCTCATCAAGGCTTTGCCATCTTGGTAACCCATTTCTCTACAGGCAACCTGGGACAAGAAACAAAACAAAACAACTATTATTTAATGCTGTGATAATAAGGTAGTTATTGCTGGCATCCGTCTGTCACAATGTGACGATGGTGTGGGCTTCTCAGGACGAAATCCACATACGCTGGTTCCCAACAGCAAATCGCCTCTCTCCACGCCGCTGGATAACCCAAGGGAACATCATTTGGATGATACAGCACGGCACCGGTGGCGTCGCAGGAGTTGTTGGAAAGTTTCATTGTACCAATGTCATCCGCCTTCGGGACTCCATCTCCGGGTTTGAATTCAGAGTTTCCTTCCCTTAGATGAGTTGCCAACCAAGGTTAACGAGTCCCATCTACCCGGGGTGCTGGTGATGTTGTTGCTTGACTGGGCTTTGGCTGAAATTGAAATCCAGACCTGAGATTTGCTCAGTTTAGACCACTCAGCCACCCAGCACCCAATAAGGTAGTTAAATATTGAACAAACCAGCTAAAGAAAACACTTTCCAGAACACATGGCATTCAGCACAGGGCTATTGATGGGAACCAGCAATTATCTTTGAGACAAAAAAGTCCTAAAAGGCATTGGAATTGTAAAATGTGTAGGTCTACAGCAGTGGTTCTTAACCTTTTTGGAGGTACCGAACCCCACCTGTTTCTTATGTGCATTCACCGAACCCTTCTTAATAGGAGAAATAACATATGAATTTTTTTTCTGATTTTTTTTGGACCTCCGCCGAACCCCTGAGACTGACTCACCAAACCCCTGGGGTTCGATCGAACCCAGGTTAAGAACCACTGGTCTACAGGCTTAACACTCAACGACTACAGAATTCCAGTACAACGTCACAGTTGGTTACGGTATATCTGAAACAACTAAGGTGAAAGGTGACTCGTAGGCCTTGCAAGTGTTTCAACCTTAATTACCAGCTTAGATAAGAAATCTATTGAGTCTGTGTATGTTGCACCTTTATACATTTAAATATTTAAGGTAGAAATGGCTGGAAAAGTTTCAGCACATAAATAAATAAATATTTTAACCGAGACAACATGTTAAAATTATAACAATTTAAACACAAGACATCTGAAGTATTTCTCTAGCTTAGAAATCAGCCATCATTGAACTCTTTTAGTGACAATAATGATTTAATTAGAGATGATTTAAATTTGGTAATCATTAGAGGAGCATGCTGGTAAATTTTTACGGACCGGAGAACAAAAGAAATTGTATATCTTTCGGTCCTAACTTTAAGAGAAAGAAATATGTTGGCTTTGTGGTTAGAGCTGCATTTACTGTTGGAACTAACTGATGCTGCTGTTATTACTAATGCATTTTTTATTTATTAGTAAGACCTGCACGCCACCATGGTAAATCAGCTAGTTTCTGAAAAAAAATTCAAGAGATATTGCTACATTAATGGTTAAAAACCCAGCATTTAAAATTTTACGGCAAGCAGCCTACCTTGGCATCCCAGTCATCCCAGCTCTCACCGCAAACTTCCAGCCAACCTTCATCTATCTGACTGTACAGTTCAACTGAACCAATGTGAATATCTGACTTCACATTTGACAGAAAGCGAACTGAAATGTTGTTTGAATGAAATATGTTCAGAGACTGCCTCGAAAATTAAAATTTTTAATATTAAATTTGTATTTAGACAAAGTTATCTAGCAAAGTGACTTTATAAATATCATTTATATACAATTCCCAGGACTCTACACATTTCTAAAGTTAAAAGGAATTAAGAAATAAAAGACCTGGAATTAAACATTAAGTGAACATGATAAACAAACAATTAATTTCAAAAAGAATTATTTGTTGAGAGATACAAAAAAGACATGGTAATAGATTCCTCACTTCCATTAATATATCCCGTTAAATAATGTTAAACTCGGTTTCTTAGCCCATCAAATAATATATTTGTCTGACATTTCTTTCATGGCATGACATTGTACTGACCACTTGAATTGGTGCAGGACACTGACACTTCCTCATGAACGCTGCAGTCGTGTTGACCCCAGGTGTCATGGTCACAATCCAGGAACTCTTGGTCGACCTGACAGGAAACTTCATCCAATAAGAACCTAGCCTTCTTAGAAACCTCAGAAATAGCACCAAACTGTAAGAATTAATAGGAAGAATTAATAAGATAATCTCAATTCTTTATAATTTTTTAAATTGGACTTAAAAAGTGTATTGAAGATTTTGTGAAACCGTTTAGACTGAAATAATTAGTATTTAGTTTGGTTTCATCAATTTTTCATTTAATTAAGTATCATTGTTGACAGTTATTCTATGTAATAAAAGGGCAGTTATTTTCTGCAAAAATTTGTCAGATTTTAAAACATTTTCGACATATAACTTTAAGTTCATTGTAAAATAAATGTAATACAGCTGACAAGGAATTTAAAAGACATTTAATTTATATCCAATAAGCAGTGTATGTTACGCAAGTCATGTCAGTGAAAAAAAAAAGGCAAATTTTAAATATGTGGATTTAAGAGTTTAAAAAGTCACAATATGTTAATGTAGTAATTGGTTGGACATTAAAAAAAAAATCTATGACTGACCAACCTCTCCGTGCTTATAACCCATGTATTTACAGGCTGATGTGGCTGAATTGTCAGTGAAGACATCATCACATACTGTGCCCCACTCCAACAGGGGGGTCAGTCTTACTTCCAGTAGTCCTGACACTTGTATAGGAGTTTTCTGCGCGCTTGCAACACGCATTTCTAAAACTATAAAAATCATTTGTATGATGAGTTAATCTCTCAGGAAGATTTTCTGGTCCACAATAAAATTGTATCTTAAAGTCTCATTCAGTTACTTTTAGATGTAATGATATTTAATTACATTAATTCTTCAGCGAATAATGATAAATCAAGCTAATGGCAATGCATGGTAACACTAGATTTTATCAATGATAAACAACTCTCAGATTTTATAAATGAGATAGCATTCTGGATTTTATCAATGGGATACCACTCTAGCTTTTATCAATGTGATACCATTCTAGATTTTATCAATGGGATACCACTCTAGATTTTATCAATGTGATACCACTCTAGATTTTATCAATGAGATACCACTCTAGATTTTATCAATGGGATACCACTCTAGATTTTATCAATGGGATACCACTCTAGATGTTATCAATGTGATACCACTCTAGATTTTATCAATGAGATATCATTCTAGATTTTATCAATGAGATACCACTCTAGATTTTATCAATGTGTTACCACTTTAGATTTTATCAATGAGGCACCATTCTAGATTTTATCAATGAGATACCATTCTAGATTTTATCAAAGAGATACCACTCTAGATTTTATCAATGACATACCACTCTAGATTTGATGAATGATATAGGCCTACCACTCTGGATTTTAGCAAATATATTTTAGCATTTAAGAGTTTAGTCAGATATGATCACTGAGAGATAACATAGTTTTTTAAGCAATGGGAGCTAACTCTTGAATTTAGCAATAGCAGACAAGATATGGGTGGTTAAAAGAGTCCCTTAATTTATCTCACCATCTTTGCTGTTATTGAAGCAGATGACACCCACACTCTCTGAGGCGCCACATGACATAATTAATTCGGTCATGGAACACAAGTCCAGTGATGACTCGTCTCCTTGGCAATCAAAACTATGCGGGAACTTGGTGTTTGCGCTTGTACCTAAGAGACTTAAGGAAATAACCTGAAAAAATAAATAGGTCAAATTTAAGAAAACATGACGAGACACAGCAAGATACCAAGATAGGTTTTTTTATAGAGTAAAATAAATGACGCGAGAAAAGAGCAATGTGCTTAAAATGGCCAAGGGGCCATCAATGATGTCACACATGTATGTTTTGAAAAGTGGGTGAAAAGGGGGTGGGGGGGGGTGTCCCACAAATTTGTGACGATATGTGATAAAATTGTTCAATTTGTGTTACAACTTTGTGACCAGGCGGGAAAGGGGGGGGGGGGGGAGATAAGCCAAAATAGCGTGACATTTATGGATAACACAAAAGGCTTCAGGGTCCATTTTGATCAGGAGTCAAACCTTCCCGGGCAGCTTGTCATTACTCCCATCTGATAAAATAAACACCAAATAAACGATGTACATAATTATTTATTTATTCAAAATGCACTTACATAATTCTTTGATGATAACACACACACACACATACAGATTACACCCAAACACTCATCCACCCACATACCATTAATAAGTTTTACATAAACTCCTAACGTGCCACCTATTGGGCAGAAACCACTAAAGGAGGCGAGGGGGACATTGTGTTTATCAGCATTTTACTATACTATGATGTCTATAAGGATCATATACTTCAAGCCACCGAAGTCAGGGCCGTTGAAAATCTGAATTGATATTTTGCAGTGTCACATTAACTTTACTATAGATTATTTTTAAGTGATCCATTGAATGCTCTGTGAAAATTTGGTAGGGGGCAGATAATCTTTAAATCTTGTGCTGTTGGTTCCCATCTCATTATGGCCTGTTTTTCTACCAACAGTTGACCTGACTCTCTGCTGCTGTGACCTTAGGGGGCCATTCACATTATCACGTAAGCCTATGCCAAAATTATTTTTTATTCAACGCCGTGGAGGGAGGGTGGACCAACATTTGCCCAGCTTTTTAAGTTGTTTATTGCTGTAGACGTCACAGTACATAGCAATTTAAATAAAAATCTACAAATTCAGTCGTCGCCCCCCCCCCCCTACCCAAACCATGTGTACCCGGAAATAAATGTGGAGGGAGGGTGGACCAACATTTGCCCAGCTTTTTAAGTTGTTTATTGCTGTAGACGTCACAGTACATAGCAATTTAAATAAAAATCTACAAATTCAGTCGTCGCCCCCCCCCCCCTACCCAAATCATGTGTACCCGGAAATAAAATGTTTCATTATAAATATAACATAGACCTTTATGAATAACAAGCCAATGAAACACGTCGTCGTAAACTGCACTGAAATTATCTCACTGGTCAGGATGATATATTGCGGAGCAGATGCATATTTTTTTAGGAATGTGTGTTCTCAAGGGAGAATGTATGTTCTCAAGGGAGTCACATTCACTAACAGTCACCCAAGAACGTTACAGGGGGATGGTGATCAAAACATTTCTTTAAGATTTGAGAAGATTCTGTCGTGCAAGGAAACTGCACATGAAGTGGCACGGTGGGGACGGACGGGTAATACTTTTTCTCTTTATATTGAAGGGTGGTATTTTCTGCCAAATGCAGTCACATCCCCCACTGAGGATAGTTATTTCAAAATGTGAGCTTAAATGTACGTCCACATTTTGCCATGCTCCTCACCCCCATATGCATCCATTATACAGAATTCCCTAATCAAAAGAATAACCCCCCCCCCCCATGTGCATGCATAATATGTAATAATTAAATGGTCTTTTATCTGCCTGATAGCTTAAATGTACGTCCACATTTTGCCATGCTCCTCACCCCCATATGCATCCATTATACAGAATTCCCTAATCAAAAGAATAACCCCCCCCCCATGTGCATGCATAATATGTAATAATTAGATGGTCTTTTATCTGCCTGATCAATTCGATCATTCCATCTTCGAATGCATGTAAATAATGTCACTAAAATATTTTGCAACGATAAACTAAACTAGACAAGAGTTACCTCTCCTCGTTGGTAGTTGAACATCCGACACACGACTTGGCCAGTTTTTGTATCAAAGTGTTCCTGGCAAGGGAAGCCCCACGAATGCTGGTCTAAGGATAATTCGAGACCTCCATGGACGTATTTTACTGTACTTGTTACATTGAAGATTCGCACTGAGACCCCTGTAAAAAGTGGAGTATTGGTCTTGAACTAGCACATGATGTTTAAAAAATACAAAACTTACAAAGTTTAAATCCTTTAAAGCTTTAAACAATGGTGTTTGATTGATAAATTGGGTCATCACAAACTTGCAATAAGATATAAATATATAAATTTACTTTATAACCGAAAGTAACTGTTGCAAAGAGAGGGAATTTTCAAAAGTAACGATAAACATTGTAACACTCAATAATAAATAAAGATAGTCAGAGATCAATGGCGCAAGAAGCGGTGAGCGGTCCACCCTGGGTGGCACTTCTTTCTTCATTTTAGACAAACTGCAGATTTCTTTTGTGAAAAGTGGGCAGCAAAACAAAAAAAATCTTCTCCCACCGCAGATGGCATTAACCCTATTTCGGATACTGAGTGAGACAAGAAAACTGTGGAGATCACGACATCGAGAAATAAGACATTGAGATTCATCAATACAATTTCCTCGAAACAGCAAAAAGAAGACAGAGAGAACGTTATTAAAAATAATATATACATATATATATATATTATACTCCCTCAAGAAAAGTAATTAGTGCAAACTTTAATTGCATTATTTTACCTGCATTTAAACCCCCCCCTCCCCATGAATTTCAGCGCATCATAACCCCCTATCATCTCTCCCCCCCCCCNCCCCCCCCCCCCCACCCTATAAATGAATAAAAGATAATAATAAATAATGCTCAATGAACTTAATTTTGCTGCCTCAGATGTCTACATTGC